AATGTAAATATCTGATATGCAGGATGTATTTTCATTGTTACAAATTGAACATAATTAAAGCATAGTGATTAATCACAAAACAATATGTAATTATATATGTGTTTTCCGATGGTCTTAGGCGACCCCTGTGAAACGGTCATTCGACCCCCAAAGGGGTCGCGACCCCCAGGTTGAGAACCGCTGTGCTAAGCGCGTCTGCCTGCCTCTGCACATTGGATCCCACAGTTCAGAGCGGTTTCTCTTTCCCTCTGTTCACATCATTAGGAATCTCATGGACTCCCACTGGTGTTTACTTCTTTAATATTTCCCCACAAACAAACTCGACTTGTGGAGTTCGCTCCATGCCTCCTAGTGTTTTGTCACCCAAAGGAGCAGCATGAATATATTTTCTTATGGTCAAGGGATGGGTAATTGGGGATCCCTGGAAGCAGGGGCTCCCCAGCTACCCAACAAGGCACAAGTTGGGAAGGTTTGACCATCAGTCAACTCCAATCCCAACCCTGGCCTCAGAGACTGGAATAACAGGTAAAGATGGTACTAGCTCCCCAGAAGAACAAAGGAAACTGCAAAAACCCGACATACCTTCTTATTTGGGGATTAATCAGAGGGGATCAAGGGCATAGGAGAAAGTAAAGGCACCAACCACTTCACTTCTGCCTCTTGAGTCATTTATCAGCATCCACAGACCCCGGCAAGCGTCTTGCTGAGCAAGGGTTATCGGGGCTTATGAGGAAGGGCTGACACTGGGTAACCACAGCCTCACTGAGGGGGCGAACTCAAGGCTGGGAAAGGCAATGAGAGGAGCCAGCATAAGGCCCAGACTGAGGCTGCTTTTTCTCAACAAGGCTGCTGGCCGCGTCACAGCCTCTCATTAAGCATCCACTTGACGCCAGGGAAGTGAAATTGCGCAGACCTGGCACCAGAAGGAACCAATGTGGCACCCACTGCTCCTTTTAAGGACTGGCTCGAGGAGCAGCGGGCTCAGGGAGGAGGTGAGGCAAACACAGCCGTACCTTTGTAGAAAGGGGCGAGAGGACTGCCTCCTTCTTAACGAGCTCTCCAGGGCAAGTAATGCTGTAACTGTCACAAATATTCAACACTGTAGGCTTTTCCCCTTTTCTCACAAACTCTGGGGACACAGCATTTCCCTTCCCCCTAGCAGGGCAGCCGGCTTCAACAAAGATCAAAAGCCCCCTTGATAATCATCTGTCCAAACAGAAATACCCTCAGCCCTGGCGGTGTGGCTCCGTTGGTTGGGCATCATCCCGCACACCAAGAGGTGGTGGGTTTGATTCCTAGTCAGGGCATGCGCAGGAGGCAGCTGGTTGATGTTTTTCTCACATTGATGTCTCTCTCTCTCTCTCTCTCTCTCTCCCTCCCTCCCTTCCTCTCTCTGAAATCAAAATAAATAACAGGAATACCCTCACCTGTTACAGGTTCAGAGGGAAAGGCCGGACCAGTGGTTCTGAATTTTAGTGTGCATCAGAATCACCTGGAAGCTAGTTAAAACACAATGCTGGGCTCCATTCCTGGATTTCTCATTCAGTTGGTCTGAGATGGGGCCCAAGACATGGCATTTCTAAAGTTCCCAGGGAGGCTCATGCTGATGGTCTGGGCACGGGTGTGGTGTTTGCTACCTGTCCCTTCACATTTCTTTCCATGCATCCATTTTTCCCAAAGGGACAGACATTCCCTTGAAAATATAAGGTCTCATGCGTGTACACTGTACTTTTATTCCCAAGATCTCCAAGCCCTGTCGCATCTATTGCCTCCATTTGCTCTCAAGGGCCATAACCAATGCCATTACTGAGTCCTCAAGTTTCCAATTCAGGAGTTCTTCCTAAGAGAACGCGCCTCCAACCCAGGTCTCACGATACTGTGAGCTGTCAATGGACCAAGGACTGGCTGCTGTGACACACATTGCCCAGACGGACCAGCAGGGAGCTGAGGGGATAAGTGGCCTCCAGAACACAGTCGGGGGAGACTCAACTCATGACTCAGGATACTATAGAGGCAGCAGAGAGAAGTATATTTAAAAATAAATCCTTGGTAATCAACATAATTGCTTTTTTGGACAAGTTGGTTTTGGGACTTTTGAGGCTCACTTCTCACACTGTAGGCACTAAATAAATAGTTCTTGAATTAATGGTAGTGGTTTATGGAAAACAATCTAAATAAGTTAGAATCTTGTTGCTGTTTAACTGATAAGCTATTAGCAAAAACAGATTACTGAAGTTAAGAAAACAGGGCAATAACAAGGGTGTAGATTCTTGTTGGCACGTCTGTACATGCCTTGGGGTGAGAACTGTGCAGTAATTTTCTGGCCCCTTAGCAGTAGCTTAATGAAGGTTCAGAGTAGCACACGGGAACTGTGCTCCTTACTGACCAGGTGGCTCCGTGCATGCTGGGAGCATAGCGGTTTCTGTCCTTAGGATGGAAAGCCTGGTAGAGTCTGGCTGTGTGGAAAAAAAAAAGTTTTGTTTTTGTATTCTTAAAATTAGATACTGGAGGGAACAAAGAGCGTAACATAGGTTTTCTGGCAGCAGAAACCCACAGGCTATGTCAGCAAGTAAAACAGATGTGACCAAAAAACTGTTGATGGGGCAGGTATTTTTATAGCTCAACACCAGGCATAACGGGTCAGAACGGAGGAGACAATGAACGGTCACACATTCTGTGTTGCCTCCATTAAGGACCTCGTGGAATACAGCTCCCAGGACTTCTGGAGCCTGGAGAGAGCACGCAGGCCCAGCCCAAGTCCCCCAACTTGCAAATGAAGAAAACAGCAGATAGCAAGGCCAGTGCCACTGTGATTGGCAGGGGTTCTCTTCAGCAATCAGTCCACTCCCTTGAAGCAAATTATGGGCCGTGGACGTGGGTCCACAAGTGAATTATGACCGCGACACCACAATGACACAAGGAACAAGGCTATCCAACACAGTGACTAACCAGGGGGCACCTACTACTGTGCCAGGCGCTGAGCTTCGTGCTGGTCCTGAGAAATGAGCAAAGTCCCTCTCTCAGCCCAGAGACCAACACACACTCACACACACACACACACACACTAAAGCCCCGACAGCTGTAACCCTTTTGTTAGTGCAATTGCAATTCCAGAAATACCTCCATTCTCTGCAAACAGGAAGGGAGGACAATTATTACCCCTTTTAAATAGCTGTGGTAGCCCCAAAGCCTAGGAGCTGACCTTTCAGTTCCCCCTGAAGAAACATGTAGAAACAAGTAGATGCTCTCCACTCAGCATTTCAAAACAGGATATAAATACTCAACTAGAGAACACAGCATCTTAGAATTCCCTGGTGAAAACTGAAAAACAAGGTAGACAGAAAATGGTCTCATACTGTGCAGAAATCGAGAGCTGAGGAAGAAAAACATTTCTTATGCTTAAAATTTCAGAGAAGCACGTTTTGTACCTCGGCATCCATCGGGGAGAGAAATGATACCCACACAAACTCAGTGTAACCGGCTTAGCAAACTCCCGGCCCCTCACCCTCCCAAACCTCACTTTCAAAAGAGGATTATCTGTCTCTTCCTTCCAACTCGGGCTGTCCGAATAAGCGCACGGCCATAACTTCTAATATAAGCAAACATCGAGGAATTATCCGGGTGGTGCAGGCACAAAGCAGCTGAAGGAAAAGTAACTGCCTTTGCACAAATCTCTCCTCTCTGGCTCAAAAGCTGTTTGACAATGTTGGGCAAGGTAACTTCTCACCCTTGAAAATAAACCTCTTCAGACCACTGCCCCCCACCAACGGGGCCCTTCTCGTCAGCCAGCGGGCCCCTGCCACACACACACTGCTGCATGGCCCCCCGTGTGAAGCCGGGAGCAGCAGCAAAAGCCATATGTCACCATCCACGGGAAGGGGAGCCTGACTAGAACCACAAAACTCTCCCTCCCCTCGGCTCTGCCTTACCAAGCCCTCTCGCAGAAAGCCATTGTGTAGGCTGAGGAGGGAAATAAAAGAAGGGCGGACTTTTTCCACGCTCCCCTGCGGACTACAAGGTGATGTAAAAGAGCAGCAGCCACCCCCCAACAGCTCTGTAGAAGTGCAGGCCCCAGGGGGCCCCACCAACACTGGCTTTTGGTTGTGTACTGGGCAGCGCCGTCTAATAATGAGCTGAGCTCAATTGCTTGCCATGTATTTTGCGGCATAACTAATCCCTTAGTTTTGTGCTTCTCACCCACATGTCTTTTATTGTTTGCTTTGGGGGGAGAAAAAGCCTCACCTTTGAAGCAATCTAAAGTTCTCTCAGCATCTGGCTTTCTCGCCTCCTCCATTTAGACCAGCCGTGGGCAAACTACCGCGGGCCGGATCCGGCCAGTTTGAAATGAATAAAACTAAAAAAAAAAAAGACCGTACCCTTTTATGTAATGATGTTTACTTTGAATTTATATTAGTTCACACAAACACTCCATCCATGCTTTTGTTCTGGTCGTTTAAGAACCCATTGTGGCCCTAGAGTCAAAAAGTTTGCCTACCCCTGATTTAGACAAAGCTCTGACCAACCACTGCAGCCTCCTCAGTGTGTCTTTCCCAGTGTTAGCATTTCCTGAACTATCTAGGGGCCAATGGTTTGTTTAAAGCTGAGAAGAGTGATGCTATCAGGCGGCTTATCCCCACCTCAGCTCTCAGCCAGCTCAATATTTGCAATAATTCTTAATATGCATGGTGGCTGATCCCTTAGCTTCTTCAGCTAGGCATCTGTTCAGAGTCCTATAAAAGCAGAACTTTTCTTTGTTCAGTCTTTTAAAGCTGGATATCACTGTTCTGCCAACCCCGTCATTGCTTCCCGACTAAGATGGATCTTGCCACCCTTGACTAATCAATTCAGTCAAGCCATCGGGCACAGAGAACATTAGGGCAATTGTTTTTTCCTCCGACAGCTATTTACCATCAGCCATCCACCACATCTCAGACCATTTCCTCTTCCAACTTCTACTCCATCCCCCAAGAAATTCGAAAACAGAAACAACTTACACAGGCTTACTCAGAGTTCTTAGAATGTATTTTTGTTCACCTGAAAAATAAAACTTTTAAAAAATATACAAGACTTTTTTGAGTACAGGTATATCTTAAATGGCTGAGTTATAAATAACGTCTCTGGTCATGTTCACAGCTAGGGCTGGAACGCATGTCCCAGTTCCAGTGAAGGCGTTAGAGTCAGGAGGCCCGCAGTTGGGCCTAGGAGTGGTCTCTCTAGACTCTGATCCGTCCCAGAGTGGATCCAACAGTCCCGAATGCAGGGGTCAGGATGGGGACAAGGGGTTGGACTCCCAGATGTTCTCCTGCAAGTTCAAAGAATCCTTGGAATAAGAGATCCATTTATAAATTATTAAAATATAGGACTAAAAATTCACACAATAAATATAAAGTACAGGCTATTATTGAAGTTATAAAGTGGCATTTTATGTTTCTCCCCCATGGGTCCCCACCAAAATTTTAAAAGGCCTCAGAGGCTTTCTAATGACCAAAGTCAAGTCAGCAGCTCAGAAATCTCCCCCAGCGGGACACCGTGGGGGTGCGGCCAGCCTGCCCCCAGGCTATGACAGCTGAGCTGCAGTTTTCTTGCCCACAACAGGACATGGCTTAAAGCAAGGCTGTGCCTCCTTGGATCAGAGCTAACTAGAGTGTAGGCCAGAAAACTGGAGAGACAAACTGTTTCTGGGCTCAGGTGGCGAAATTTGTCCTTTTTTTTTTTTTTTTTTTTAAAGGTGCCTCATTTCCCAAAAAGGAAACATTAAGGGGTTTGGTATCTTGTCATACCCACACTCAATTGCCTAAAAGCAAGTGGCAGGAGGAAATGGAATCCTAATTGAGGATGTATAATTCTTGCTGCCCAGAGCTCTGCAAGTGTCATTCCCCTTGATGTTTCTCCTCTCAGTAAACGCACAGGCGTTCTTTACCACAAGCCCACTGAACCTTGCCGCCAACACTCATCTATTAACTGGCTATCAACGCACAGTCCTGAGCTTTAAAGCCCATCTTTTAAACCAGAGGACGTGTTCAAAGCTCTGATTTCACACAAATTCCATCCCGATGGCTGGGCTAAATTGCCACAACAAGCTCAGGAAGGAGGGAAGCCTGGGATGCTTACTGGACCAAGACAAGATTTTGGGGAGCGGGGGATAGAACAAACACGTGCGAGTCACTCTACTTACAAAGCTTGCTCTTCCTAAACTGTGAGGAGGCCAAAGACTGAAGCACACAGGCATGGCTCTTTCCCTTCCTTCCTTCCTGGCCCATATCCAGACACTCAGGGTGCCACAGCAAACCTCCTGGGTGGGGGCACCCGGGTGGGAAGAGGAGATCAGCACCCCCCCCCCCCAAACTGCTTCCACTTCTTCTCGGGGCAGTGGTCAGCAAACTCATTAGTCAACAGAGCCAAATGTCAACAGTACAACGATTGAAATTTCTTTTGAGAGCCAAATTTTTTAAACTTAAACTACATAGGTAGGTACATTGTTATTAACTTAATTAGGGTACTCCTAAGGCTTAGGAAGAGCCACACTCAAGGGGCCAAAGAGCCGCAGTTTGCCGACCACGGTAAGGGTTTCCACGGTCCTTTCAACAAGTCCAAGAGTGATTCTACGCTTTTTATGTCATAAACCTATTTCTGAAGTAGGAGGGGAAATAGGGGAAAGAATGGATGATGGAAAAAACAGTTTGTGCCCTGTGGCCGGCTGCACTTTGGGGCCCAGCGAATAGCCCTGGCCCGGCCCCATCGGCCACCCAGGGGTGGGAGAATATATATAACACGATGTAATTACAGCTTCTGGTGCCTATGTCAGCCACTATATACAGGGGTCTATAAATTAAACGCATTTGTGGCCACTGCCACGAGGCTGACGTACCTGAGCTCCCCTCCTCCTGCTGCCCTCCCGCCTTCCGACAGCTTCAGCTGATTTACGAGCCCGTCCGGCTCCCTCTTTCCCCTGAGTCTCGGGGGGAAGCCCGAGTCCCCCCGGCGCGAAGGATGCACCACCGCCAGCGGCGCAGAAGGTTCGGTGCCGGGACACCCCCGCCCCCCTTATGGCTCATACACCGGGCGCCGCCGCACAGTCCTGGGGAGACCAAACCCCCGAGTCCCGGACAAATCGTGGTCGCTCCGCGGAAGATCGGGCTGCAGGCCACGCGCCCCAGCGCTCGGCGGCCGTCGGGGAAGGCGGCGTTCGCTCCGCGAGGGTCCCCGCCGCGGGCGCTCCGTCCGGCTGCCAAGTCCCGCGCCCCGGCTCCGGAGGGCGGCTCCGCGCCGCCCGGGGGCGAGGACCTCATCGGCTCCCGGGCGCCGCCGCTTCCTCCTCGTCCTCCTCCGGCCCGCGCGCCCGCCCCGGCGGCCCGGCCAGGGGGCTGTCGGCCGGGGGCTCGGGCGGCGGGGGCCCGGCCGCCTGCAGCGGGGGCGCGTCGCGCGGCGCCTCGCGGCGGGACGAGCCGGTGGCGTTGGGCCCCGCGGCCGCCCCCGAGGTCCCGGACTGGCCGGTGGCGTTGGAGCCGCCGGGGGGCGGGCCGGCGGCTCCCGCCGAGGTCCCGGCGCCCACCGGCTGCCAGATGAGGCTGTAGTAGACGGCCAGCACGATGGCGGCCAGCGACACGGACAGCACGTAGGCGAAAACGGTGGCGAGTCGGACCCACTTCTTGTTGGTCTTGGCCGCCATCTTCGCCTTCTTGTCCCCGGTGTAGGTGGCCGGCTTGCCCCGCTCGGACGGGGCCGCGTCGCGCTCCTTCATGGGGGGGCCCCGGCCTCTGGCGCGGCGCTCCACGGCCCCGGCGGGCGGGGGCCTGGCGGCCTGGAGGACGGGGGGCGGGGGCGCCCCGGGGCCCGGCCGCTCCGCGCTCCTCACACCGCCCGCCCGCAGCCTGCCACCGCGTCGCTGCTGCCGCCGCCGGGGCCTGGGCCAGTCACCGCCGCCAGCGCCGCCGCCGCCGCCGGCCCGTCAGCTGCTTCCCCGCCGCCGCCACAGCCACAGCCGCCGCAGCCGCCCGGCTCCGCGTCCCCATCCGCCGCCGCCACCGTCTGCCCGGCCGCCGGCCGCTCGGTCTCCAGTGGCCGCGCCGACCGCGCTGCTCCAGCCCGGCTCCCCCGCCTCGCGCGCCGGGACCGGGGCGGGAGCGCCGCGGGGGGCTGCTCTTAAAGGGGCGACGCCGGGGTCCGGAAGCGCCGCGGGAGGCGGGCTTCTGTCGGCGCCGCGAGCCCGCCGGGCGCCCGGATGCTCGAGGGTTAAAGGAGGCTGGTCTTAAAGGGGCAGCGTCGCCCCAGCCCCGCGCCGGCCGCGCGCGAGGAGGGGGCTCCGGTGCTGCTGCTTTAAAGGGGGACCCGCGTCCGGTGGGGAGGAGAGCGCACAGGGAAGGGGCGGGCGCAGCGCGGAGCTGTCAGCTCTGGCGACTCTCCTCCCTGCCGACGGTCCCGGCGAGGGACAGCGGCCCCAGCCTGGGCCCCAGGCCTGTGCACCCCGGGGCGGGGGTGACTGCACGCGCGTGCTGCCGGCTCGCGTCCCGCTCCACGAGGCCTTCCAGACCCCTTTGCCCCCAGCGACGCTAGCCCACGCCCCGCGCCGGCAGACAAGGACCGGCCCCGCGCGCGGTGCTCCCGGCAGGTCGCGCCCCTTCCCCGCCGGCCCCACCCCCGTCCCCGTCCCGCCCGGGTTTCGGGGCTTCGGGGCTGAAATCGATCCGATTCCTCGTCCTCTGAGGGCCCCAGTCAGGGTGCGCGGAGCTTCCGGGCCAGTACCACGTGCCAAGCTGGTTTTCCAGGCTCGCCTCCCATCTTAGTGCCAACGTTTGCAACAGGTGTTATCCTGCTTTTGGGGGGCTTCCGACACCCCCCCCCCCCAGGTCAAGGGGCTGCACGGAACCCGTGGAGCGGCTCCAAGAGCTTTTCCCGCCTCCCATCCCCTCCCGGCCTGGGCGTTTGTTCCCTCGCCCCACCCCCGCTCCCACCCCCGTTCCCATGTGAGCTTTTTCCTCCGGTCGGTTCTGACGACCCCTCTCCCAGCTCGGACTCTTCAGCAGACGCTTTCCCCGGCGCCTCCCCCCTCCTCCTGCCCTCCTCTCTCCTGCCTTCTCTTCTCCCTGTTCTCCCTCTACAGGACTTTCCAGAATGTCTAGGTCCCTCCTCCTTGAATTCTGCTTCCCAGGTTCCCAGAACCGGATGTATGGACCACCTGGGTGTGGGGAGAGGACTGTGGCCGTGATGGGCTTCTGTGGGTGGACAGCTTCCCCCCAACTTCTGCCCCTGCAGATGCGAGCCTGACTTCTGGCTTCTGACTCTGTGGGGCAGGACCTCTGCCTTTCCCATTTCCCTCATCCTCCACAGGAGACCTGTGGTATCCAGACACGGTGCCCCATTGGGAGGAATCCCCTTCCCAACGCTGCTGTCCTGCCCGCCCTAGTGAGAGAAATCAGAGAACAAGGCAGGGTGGGGGCTGAAGGGGCCCAAAAGGCCATCTTTTGTAAATACCCCCACAGACCCTAGAGCAGCGGTTCTCAACCTGTGGGTCGCGACCCCTTTGGGGTCGAACGACCCTTTCACAGGGGTCGCCTAAGACCATCGGAAAACACATATATAATTACATATTGTTTTTGTGATTAATCACTATGCTTTAATTATGTTCAATTTGTAACAATGAAAATACATCCTGCATATCAGATATTTACATTACGATTCATAACAGTAGCAAAATTACAGTTACGAAGTAGCAACGAAAATAATTTTATGGTTGGGGGTCACCACAACATGAGGAACCGTATTAAAGGGTCGCGGCATTAGGAAGGTTGAGAACCACTGCCCTAGAACCTCCTGCACAGCGTCCTATGGAGCACTCTTCAGCGTCCCGTCGAGATTCTCTGTGATGGTGGACCTTGCCTGCTCCCTGGGGCAGCTTCTTAGCCCTTGGACAGTTCTGACCAATTACACACGCAAGTCAGGTGGCTACGGGAACTGAGTGTGCTGATGGCCAAGGGAGCCAAAGGCCTATAACCTGACCCCTCGCTCTCATCCCTGAGGTCCAGCTGCGAGCCGCCACTAACAGTGGCCAACGGGATGCTATTTCCAGAACAGCCTGCCTTTTCACTTTCCGAGAAATTTCAAGAACATTGGAAGTTTGGAGTGTGTGAAAGACAACCACTCCTTCCCATCCTGCTCCCAGGTCAGCCACAGGGGGGCTGCTAAGTTAAAACCCCTGAATGGCCTCTAGATGTTGTCCTCTCCTCTCCCCTGCTCTCCTGGCTTTCCTGGCAGGACTGATCATACCAACTATACAAGGTAAATTATTCCGAAAGATTCCAGGTAAGGCCAACCCAAAGCCTCCTCCTTGAATTCACTCGGTATTTCTTCTGTTGCAAATTAAACTTCTTTCTTCTTGCCTGGTTCTCAGTGGAGCGGAAAACAGCATGCCCGTTCTTTTCTATGCTAAAGAATAAGCATACTTGAGAAGCACTTATTCAATTCCTCTCAGCCTATTTTTCTCTAAACTAAACAGTGCCAGATTCTTTAACCTATCAATAAGCCCTATTTATTATCTGGATTTACATAGTGTCTTTTGCCCCAGAACTCAAATTGCTTTCAGATATAATTGAGCCTGATCTCCCTGGTGCTTGAGCCATTAAGAAACCATTAGTGTATTCCTGCTGCAGGCAACTAAGTGGCCCCCTAGTGGCCTGAAGGTGCATACGCTTCCCTAAGTGCCTCTCCCCCGCTAAGGGTAGGAGAGTGAGAGAAATCAGCTTCTAGGCAGGGTGGGGACAGAAAGAGCCCGAAGGTCATCTTTTGTAAATACTCCAATGGACCCTAGAAGGACATCCCTATGGAGCGTCAACTAAAAGGCCCTCCACGACCGCGTACCTTGTCTGCTCCCGAAGGCAGCCTTGGAAAGTTCTGAACAATGACAGCAGCAACATCCACGCCCTTATGGGCTAGGTACCATACTCAGCACTTAGGTTCCTGGTATCACAACAACCGATCAGGCAGGCACTCTGGAAGGGTTGGTGACCCATCTTGACGTGAATGAGCATATATTCTTGCTAACGGTCTCAACCCGCACCACTCTCCAAGGGCTGAAAGAGTGTGTGATCCCCTGACTGACCTAGGATCTCACATAATGTTGCATCAGATCAAGAGTCCCACTTTCTAGCAAAAGAGTGGTCATATAATCGTCTGGGCGCATCACATACTTTGCTGCCCACTGGTGAATAGAGTTGATAGAGTAAAAGAACTGCCTTTCAAAGGTGCAGCTGAAGCACCATTTTAGTACTGTGTGCTCCGGTGTGAAGTATGCACCCTATCCAATAACTATAATCTGGGCTTTGGCTCAACAGCTAAAATACAGGGGTCTAGGGAACAAGGGGTAGAAGGAGGAATAACCTCACTTACCATCCCTCCCAGTGACCCTTGGGGTAGGGGTGGGTTTTGTGCTTCCTATTCCTACAGTTCCAGGTGGTTTAGAGAATCTGGGTCCCAGAGGCAGAACACTTCCAGCAGGAGACAGAGCAAGGATCCCATCGATGTTCCGTGTGGCTGCTTTTCATCCTTCAGACTCCTTGCACCAAGAGACCAGCAGGCAGAGAAAGGAGTCACTTCCTGGCAGGGATACGTGACCCTGGTCCTTTAAAAAGGTGGGCTGCTGCTACACAGTAGGGTTAGGAAAGAACATGCGTGTCTCTTGGTACTCCCTTGCCCAATTTTAATAGTAAGTAAACAAATTCAGAAGCCTGGTTTGAGAAGGGCCTGGTGATTAGGCACTCAGACCCCTCAGGAATGCCACCAGGTGAGCCACCTGGACCAGCAGAGGTACAAACTGAAGTAAAGAGAATCTAGGCTGGGTAATGGGGCGGGGAGAATGCTGACTATCAGTGACACCAAGACAGGCTGCCGGAGTGGGGAGTCAGGATTGAGCAGAGGAATACATTGACCAGCGATGCAGTCACAACAAAGGACGCCTCCACAGGGAGCTCTGGAGTGGGGGTGACGCTTCGTACCTGGCCCCACCTGAGGCAAGAGGGCTGGACCTCTGCGTCCCCACATTGGCCAGGCGGATTGTCCCTGTTCAGGAAGCCGGCCAGGTGGCTCCCTTTGGAAGTGTCCAGGGGGATGTGCCACAGCCACCACAACAGTGCCCCCCCCCCCCCCCCCCCGCCCCGGACGTGGCTTAGACCTCCATGCTTCGTATGGGCAGTTTGCTTTGTGTGGAAGTAGCTCCTCCAGAATTCTAGCGTCTGTTTTCTCCGGGAATCTTACAGGAAGGTAAGTAGGAGGGACGATTGCCCCTACTTCCCGAGCTCTTCCTAGGGACAATCCGCCTGGTCAATGGGGGACGCAAAGGTCCAGCCCTCTTGCCTCAGGTGGGGCCTGGTCTGAAGCATCACCCCCAACTCCAGAGCTCCCTGTGGAGGTGTCCTTTGTTGTGATTGATCGCTGATCAGTGTATTCCTCTGCTCAGTCCTGACTCCTTCACTTCCTCGGATGCCATGTTGTTTCTGAGAGTGCCTCCCCATAAACTTTCTGCAAGCAAATCTTCCTTCTATGAGAAACCTGAACTAAGACAGTCTAGTCACCTAAGTCACCTAAGATTCTAACCTTGGGGACCCAGGAGAACAAGTCTCATCCATCTGAAGGTAGACCTCCTGGCCACCTGAGCCTCTGAGCCATGGTTCCCTCCACCAATCCTCACAGAGTGTGGTGTCAGCCTACATCCTGGCTGTCCTCCACCAAATGCCCTCCTGCCGCGTGTTCCCCAACGATAAAGCAACTAATCGGAAGTCCCTGAGTACATCAGACATGGTCTGGCAGGACAGTAATGAGAATGTGACTGCGTCTTCCTTGGTTCTAGAGCTCTGGCTGCACATTGGAACCAAGGGTGACACTTAGAAATACAAATTCCTCACCTTCCTCCCCCTTTCTCCCCTCCCCCTTCCCAGGTCCTGATTCAGAGGGCCTGGGCACAGCAAGGACACAGTGCTACCAGAGCTTCCCAGGTGATTCTGGTTGATATCAAGATGGAGAGCCACTGGGCTCAGTGTCCCACTTCAACTCCCAACCTCAGAGTCTGTCTGCTTTTCTGGCAGCCTTTTCATTTGACTCATATGGAGCTGGCTGTCAGCAAAAACCCTCAGTTTTATTCACACTTGCTTCTGCTAAGCCGCCACTTCCCCACCCTGTCCTTGCACAGTCGGTGCCGTGGAGCCAAGCCCAGAATTCTCAGTTAAGCCATGTTCATTTCACCTTTGAGGTTCAGGCTGTGACTACAGCACGTTAGGGGGTCTTGGGATCCCGAGTGTGTCTACCAACACATCCCCTGTTCTCACTGACTTCCTGTTATTCACAATAACTTCCTGTTATTCACAAGGTTGAGGGGCTTGCTCCCTGTGGCTTTGCCCAGGTCCTGATAAAAAGATGGATGAGGCCGAAACCGGTTTGGCTCAGTGGATAGAGCGTCGGCCTGTGGACTGAAAGGTCCCAGGTTCGATTCCGGTCAAGGGCATGTACCTAGGTTGCGGGCACATCCCCAGTAGGAGATGTGCAGGAGGCAGCTAATCGATGTTTCTCTCTCATCGATGTTTCTAGCTCTCTATCTCTCTCCCTTCCTCTCTGTAAAAAATCAATAAAATATATATTAAAAAAAAAAAAAAAAAAAAGATGGATGAGGACAGGAATAAGGACAGAAGCAAGCCATCTTCCTGAGGGCCTTCCTTACGTGCAAGGCACCATGCCCGCCTGGAGAAGGACATCGTCTAACTTATTTTCCTCACACTTAGGAAAATGGGTTCATTTCACAGACGGGTAAGCAGAAGCAGGGAAGATGCAGACTGTGTCCAAGAATACCCTGCTGCGGCAGGGGGCCAATCCTTTCCTGCCGTCTACAGCTCTACATCTCCCAGAGGAAAGGCGGGAGATAAAAGTGACAAGGTTGACCCTTCTGATTGGAAAAAGAGAGATTTTTAGAGCTGGAAGGAATCTTAGAAACGATCAAAAGCTAACAGATTAGAGAGCTCAGGTAACTTGCCTAGATCACACAGCAAAAACCTTTCCTCTGTTGGAGATTAAAATCTGGGTTTCTTGAGAACGATCCAGTATTCACTCCGCTACATCGCCAAGTAAGTTTGGTTCAAAATGGCACTTCAAAGGAAACACATGGGACTGCATCTTTTCCACTTCCAAGTCCCAGATGTTTCCCTCTATGATTCTAGAAGGGCTTAGTTTGGGAGGAGAGGCAACATCTCCCTCCTGGGCTTCTACGGAAAACTCTTGATCGTCTCTCCTCTCCTACATGAGGAATTAGAACCTCAGCACCTGCTATCCAGCCTTGTTCCTTCCTCCATTCACACTCAGCTCTGTGTGTAGAGGGTGGCTGGATCTGGAGCCACAGCTGGACATAAACAGACAGACTGATGGACAGCTCCTGCTGTTCACTCTACCTCATCAGCTGTGGGGGCTATGGTGGTGGGAGGCTGGCACTCAACTTCTTGAGTTCTGGTCATCTCGGGGACAGTCTGCTTCAAGTCTACAACCAGGAACACCCCTAACTCGGCCTGCCCTGGGAAGGTGGGTCCAGCCCCTGACCCACACAGTCTGCTGGGGGCGGTGGGGGGGGACACAAATAAAGAGCAAGTCAGTGAAGATATTTGTTATGGAAAGAGAGGCATATATACTGAGGAGGACGTAATAAGAAATTGCGTTGCTCCTGTCAGTCAGTGGCTGCTGCTACTACTACCACTACTAAGCTGACGTGTAGGCATGGTATTGAGTGCTTTATATTCATTATAGTATTTCGTTCTTACAACATTCCTTGAAACATAGATATTTCCATTTTACAGGTCCGAATGTCGATGCACAGGAAGGTCAGGAAGGTTAAGTATCACAAGATAAACCAGCTGGTGAGTGACTGGGTTCATAGAGGAGTGAACTTGGCTCATGTGTCAGACTGAGGGACAGACCCCAGAGGATGTCACGGCAGCCTTCCGCATTCCAAAGCGAAGCCAGCCATTGGCCCAAGAGGCACAACAGGCCTCAGGGCTCCTGAACCCCAACTGCTCCATCAGGGAAGTCACGGCATCAGCTAAGAAACCCACCTAATCTGACTCTCTTGTTGGCTGGTAACGGGGTCACCGGAAGATCTGAGTTCAGCTTCCACCACTAAACTTCTCTGATGAGCAGATTGGGAAACCCAAGCACAGGGTCCTCACACAAGCTGCCAAGTGAGCCAATGGATTCGGGTCCTGCCTCCGAGGCTTTGGGCCGCCACCGTCTCCCCGGGAGGCAGCGATGTGCTGACTGTAAGTTCCCAGTGACTTGTGTGGCCCGGAGCTCACAGGTGCAAACTCTCCACTGTAGGTGCCTCCACCATCACAGCGGACACAGACCCTCCAGCAACTTCACTCAGGACCTGCCCTCCCTTGATCCCCAGCCTTTCCCCAGGAGGCACGAGCTTTTCAGTGTGCCCAGTAGGGGGCATCGTCGCCCTTCCACCTTCTGCTCTGGAAGGGGGAGAGCAGGGGAGAGATTGGCAGATTGCCTGGAGCCCTCTGCTCAGCTCAGGCCAGGAGCACATTTCCCAAGCTGGGTATTTGCGTGTGACCTCCTGCTTTCTCCATAGCCATTCTACCATTATTTATACAGTGGTTTTCTTTGTCAATACACATGTTTTAAAAACCTCACTGTATTTTTAAAAGAAAAAAGCCCTTTGATGAAGGTTTTCCCAGCTTCCTTCACTGCGTGAATTCCCTGCATTCTAAGGGCCGCTTTGCAGGATATGGAAAGGAAAATACAGGCCCCCCGGAAGCTACAGTGGGGTTCTCAAGAACTTACTCCAGGCAGTGCCATCACTGGGTAAAGACGGGTGAGGATTTATCCTGTGGATCCATAGCCTCACTCTTCAGAGCCAGAGAGTGGAAGGATCAGAGTAAAATACCCTGAACTCCCTGCTTTCCTGTGGCACCCCCAAACCTGTCTCTCCCCTGCTACCCCTCCCCCCACGCCCCAAGGGAGAGGGAAGGGATTGTCTTTCCAGGCCCAAAGTGGCGAGAAGGCTGATGGCTGCAGGGCAGATAAGAGGGAGGGACGTGGGTGCAGGGCCAGAGGTGGCTGCAGGTGACAGGTGCAGGGGCTTTGAGAAGGGGCTGGGATTTCCCTTGCAAAATCTATTCAAACAGACAAACAGGGAACCCGATCCCAGGAGGGAACCAAAACTACAGGGACACCAGAGGGGCCCTTGGCTAGAGGGATGGGAAAGGAGAGAAGGGGACAGCAGGATTTGGAGGGAGGGGTGGGAGGATGAGGGCAAAAGGCAAAGAAGCTGGAGGATTCCCAAGCTGCTTCCACAGGCTCAGTCAGGCCTTGCTTGCTCCAGGCTCCATCCCAAGTCTTGGAATTGCTCTCCTAGAGGTTATTTTAGTGTGGGAGTCTCCTTAGCTCCCACCCCCTGCCCTGGTCCAGACTGGCCAGCAGAGACAGTTCTAGGGCCCGAGGATCTCACAGTCGTCAGGGGCTGGCACAAAGGCTCATGCAGAACCTGCGGCAGAAAACCAGGCCCTGAGAGGGAAGGAAGTCCTGGGCAGAGCTCCCTGCTCCCCCAGTTGAATTAGCAAGGGTGATAAGCCGATCAGATTAAGCAAGAGGAAGTGGGCTGGCTGAGCTGGGCCAGGACTGAGCTCCCTGGGCTGGGGCAGTGCAGAGGCCCTGCAGGCACCCAGAGCAAGTGACCAGAGCCCAGGCCTCTGCAGAGCAGCCTCCCGCCGCCAGTGCTCTCACCCAGGCTCTGGGCACAGGGCAGAGGAGGGGGCCTGGCAGGAGGGCCTCGTGAAGTCTGGTGGCCAAGGGTGGCTCCACTGGCTGTGTGTGAGGGTGGCTGGTCGGCAGGGCGTCCAGGTGTCAGCCAGGCCTAGACATCCAAGAGGGGAGAGTCACATGTGGGGGGGTGAGGTGTGTGATTGCCTCACTTGCACCTCATTTTCATGGGGAGGAAGCGTTGAGAAAGAGGAGCTGGATATTCAACAAACTTTGCTTATTCAAAAATGCTCAGTCCCAGCTGGGCCCTGCCCCTCCCTCAACTCCCACTTGCAGGGTGGTCCCAGCTCCTCAGGCTCTGCGAGAAACCCTTGTGCTTTGGACCCCACCTCTGTGGAAGTCCCTTCCCTGGTCACCTCCTTGCTTCCTCCCCTCAGTCCTTGCCTGCGCAACAGTATCCCCAGCTGGCCCCACATTATTCCTTCTCTAGCCCCCGGCCGCATCTAGGGGAGTAGGAACTGCTTCTGGGACCGGGAGGCCCCAGCTCCAAGCGGACCAGACCTCCTGACTGCACCCTGAACAGCAGCGAGAAGGAAGCCCTGAGCAGGAAGTGCTGAGGCACAGGGTGAGGGCGGGGGCTTTGAGGAGGGGAGCCGGCCTCCCAGGGCAGGAGCAGTAACCACAGCCCCCCACTGCAGGCAGGCAGGAGGAGGCTGATTTAAAAGGCAGCGGGGCCTCTGTCCGAAGCACTCAGCTCTGCACCCAGCCACGGCCACCGTGGGCTGTAGGAGCACCCAGACTTCCGGACCAGCTCCGGGCGGGTGCCATGTGAGCCCAGCTTGGCTCTCCTCCTGCCCGCCCTCCTGCTGCCGGCCTCTGCCGTGTCCAGCTTCTCCAAAGAGGAACACTTGGCACCATGTCTCTGCTCAACCCTGTCCTGCTGCCCCCGCAAGTGAAGGCCTATCTGAGCCACGGGGAGCGCTTCATCAAATGGGACGACGTGAGTGGGGCAGGGCTGTGGGCCGCTGGGACACGGGTAGCAGGCGGGGCTGCGAGGTGCTTTGCCAGGGTGGTGGGTAGGTTTATGTCTGTCAGGACTCAGGCGCCTGTGTGGCTTGGCCAGGCAGCAGACACAACTGCCTGGATAAACAAACCTGGGGGTGAGGGGGTGCGCCCCAAACATGTTCCTGGGCTGCGGGGCTAGGGCTCTGTGTCTGGATGTGAGAAGCTGATGGGCTGCCTGGGAGGACAGTTCTCCGGTCCGGGTGGGTCTTTCCCCATCGCCCCCAGGGTGCGCTGCTCCTGGTCCCGGCTGAGTGGGAGGAAAGTGCCCCAGAGCTGAGGCAGGGCCAGAAGCAGCGGTGAACCAGGGCCTGCTCCCAGCGCAGATGCCCCACTCTTGCCCATTAGGATTGTTCGCCCCTCCCCACCCGCCCCGTCCCTGTCCCTGTCTCTAGCCCGAGAAAGCCCTGCTCTCCCCAAAGCGGCTGTGGGGCAGCCCCTAAAGGCCCCTGCACCCCAAGTAAGAACTGGAGGCTTCTGGTCCCAGGGGCCCCGGAAGGAATGGATTGACTTCTGCTTCTGAGGGCTGCTCACCCGGCTCCCTGCCGCCTGCCTGTCTGCAGGGGAAGGGGAAGGCGCTGCTGTGCCCTGTAGTGTGTCTCCACGGTGTCTGCTCCTTTCCAAACTGGGGCCTGCCTCCAGCCTCTGGTCCTCCCAGACCCCCCGGGGCCAGGGATTCTCTGGGGCAGGTGAAGAGAGCAGGGAGGGGAGGCTGCTGGGCTGGCCCTGTGTGAGAGGCAGTGGGGCTGGTCCCAGGAAGGGAACATGAAGGCTGGGGAAGGGTGTGGGGGGTGGAAGAGAGGTCCTTAGGGCTGGCTAGTCCTCCTCACAGGTGGGGTGAGGGGCTCTGGGTCTGTGAGTTAAGGTAGCCTGGGCTCTCGGCCTTTCAGGGCTGGGCTGGGCTGAGTAATCTGGTTGCCAGGACTGTGGAGAGGAGGCCATGGCCAGATGCTTTCTGCTTCCCTAGGGGTGTGTGGTAGCTGTGGCATGGCGGTGGCATGTCCCAGGAGCCTGTGGAATGAGGGAAGTGGCTCAGAATGAAAAGCGAAGTGGCCTTTCTCGGTTCCTCTGGGAAGTGTGCGTAACCCGACTGGGCAGAGGGTCATTCGGGGTGGGGGCAAGATTTGTGGCCTTCTCTGCAAGCCAGCACCTGGGTACGTGGCTGCCCCCTCCCCTCCCCCAGGCGGAGCACTGCAGGGCCCTCAATCCTGATTTCCACAGCAGGCACCTCCCACGCCCAGCCACAGACAGGCACATGGACCTATGGCCAGGGCTCTGCTCTCAGACTATTCAGCCTAGCTGGCAGGTGGCTTGGGTCTGCCGTGCCGTGTTGCATAAGCACAGCGTACAGGATGTAATGAACTCCCAGCTGCATGTGTCTCCCATGCCCCTTTACAATGCATTTGCTGGGAGAAGCTCTCCCCCGGCCGTGGAAGGAAACTCAGGCAGCCACGGGCAATCCATTTGCTCTCGGGGAACACAACTCTATGGTCACTTTTCCTCGCAAAGCCAAGTCTTCTTTCAGACACAGTTATCATGAAGAGCTCCAACCTTTATTCAGAACAGTGATGGCGAACCTATGACACACGTGTCAGAGGTGACACGCGAATTCATTTTTTTGGTTGATTTTTCTTTGTTAAATAGCATTTAAACATATAAAATAAATATCAAAAATATACATCTTTGTTTTACTATGGTTGCAAATATCAAACAACTTCTATATGTGACACGGCACCAGAGTTAAGTTAGGGTTTTTCAAAATGCTGACACGCCGAGCTCAAAAGGTTCGCCATCACTGATTTAGAATGACACCTTCTGCCCTCCTCCCGCTAGGAATGGTTTGAGGTGGTCTGCAGGCCTCTGGCTGGGTTTCCTGCTCCTCCTCCAAGTCCCGCCAGGGGTAGGGTGCAGGGAGGGAGGTGAGAAAGGGGTATCAAAGGGCTTCATTGAACAGGCATCATCATCAACTAGCTCGTGCTCTCTGAGCCTGGTAGGCCGTTTGGGCTTATTCTTTCTTTGGTGCACATTTTTAAGGATTCTCAGGAGACCTCTCCACCCTGCACTGGGGTTCTCTTGCTTAGGGCCTTCCTGCTATCTGTATTCCAGGCCACTTGCAATGGCTTCTTCAGTCTCTCCGAATCCAGTGACGGCCGTCAGCTTCCTATAGCTTCGGACTCGGCCCCTCTCTCCCACAGGCCCACGCTGGACCCAGCAAGTGTGCACGTGTGCATGGTCCCAACAGACTCCGGGATCCGGCTCATCTCGCACACCAGGGTCTCTCTGCCTCCAGCAGTCAGCTGGTCTGTCACCAACTGGTTCCTGGGCAGGAGCCCCAGTCTGTTATGTCCCACAATAGCAGGGGTGACAAAATCTGTCCAAGTGCAGTTAAACCTAGACTTAAAGTGAGGGGTCAGGCACCCTAATCCTCCCTTGGGGAAAGAAGGGAATGGAGCTCACAGCACAGCTTTCTCCAAAATTAGCCTCCTCACAAAGTGTCCTCTTTCTCCAGTCCATTAAGCACCCCAGATCTGAGAACCTTTTTTAACTCTTTCCTTGGTAAATGCTGCACCTGACTTGGTTTGGGGTGCAGGGACTACCATGTTTTGTAGGAAGCTTCAACTTTAATATCTTGTTATATATGCATACAAATCATTACAATCAGCGGTAGCCTGTGTGCTCCGTGAACGGAACAGGAATTTAGAAGTGAGTTCATTCATCATTCATTCACTCTTTTAGCAAACCTGGGGCACTGGGTTCATGGTCTAGTGCGGGCTTGTTTCCTGAGGGTCCGAGCCCCTGGGGATTTCCTGGATGGGTTTCTAGGTCTGAGGATAAGCCCCTCTCAGGCTGTTTCGGAAAAGGCTTTTCTGAAGCCATGAGGCTTGTGCTGGTCCGTAATGGTGTTTCAGGCAGTGAGAGTTGGAGTAAGGATGCACTTGGTATCTGCTATCTACGGGGCGTGGGTGGGTGGGGGGAGCAGTTCATGGAGGGGGAGACTGAGCGTGTGGGAAGCGAGGTTTTAGCCGGATGGTGTAGGGCAGCAGTTCTCAACCTGTGGGTCGCAACCCCTTTGGGGGTCGAGCGACCCTTTCACAGAGGTCGCCTAAGACCATCAGAAAACACATATATAATTACATGTTGTTTTTGTGATTAGTCACTATGCTTTAATGATGTTCAATTTGTAACAATGACATTGGGGGTCACCACAACATGAGGAACTGTATTGAAGGTCGCGGCGTTAGGAAGGTTGAGAACCGCTGGTGTGGGGCCTTGGGTGCAGGTGTGGGAGTTGGGTCCTCGGCTCTCACTGTTGAGCAGCCCTGGAGGTGGTGTGGACGCTCAAGAGGGATATTCTACCCTTTGACTGAGCTATGGCCTTAGGAACAGGATGAGGCGGGGGCCAAGACCCTGTTTGGGGTCTAGAGGGAGAGCCTCTCTTTGGGGCTTAGAGAGGGAAACCCTCTTTTCTCCCAGAAATACCACTTCCAATCCTCTGCCCCTGTCCTCCCCCGGTGCAGAGCTTTTGAGGCCTATGCCCAGCCTTTAGCTCCGCAGGACGCAGGACGAGGGAAATGCCTGCAGATTCCCGGGACAGCCACCTCCTAGGGAGATGGAAACGCCTGGTGTGGGCCAGGGAAGCTTGGCCTGAAGTCTCAGAGCAGGGCGCTGCCTCTCTCTCTCCACAGGAAACAACATTAGCCTCCCCGGTCATCCTCCGTGTGGACCCCAAGGGCTACTACTTATACTGGACATATCAGAGTAAGGTGAGGCAGCCCCTCCTAGTGCAGCCCTGAGCTCCTGCTATTCCATGGAGTCAAAGCGGCCTCGTGGCCATGGGGGCTGGAGGTGCATGCTGGGAGTGTAGAATGACCTGCTGGTGGCTCAGGGTGGGGGGATCTCCTGTGAGGGGGGGCTATTTGCTTTGGGAGCGGGGGGTGCAGTCCCTCCAACCATGGCTGCCTTCAGCCTAGATGCTCCGGCCTTAGCTGGAAAGAGAGAGAGAGAGAAGGGAAAAAGCTGCTACTGAAGGCTGGCTCTCTGCCTGGGGTTCCAGGTGAACGTGAGGGCTCAGAAAGATCAGGGAAGGGCCTTAGCACCCAGGCAGAAAGGAGGGAGGGAGAACCTGAGGAGAGTCCAGGATGGAGGAGGCGAGACTGCGGGCTCCCAGGCCCTGAGTAACTCGAGTGGCCAGGGAAGGACAGCCCCACAGTCTTAGCATCTAGAGAGGGCGGATGGCCAGGATGTGAAGGGGTGTGGAAGCTCCCTCCTCCCTGCTCTATGTCCACCTCCCTTCTTTTCCCCCTGGGCCCCCCAGGAGATGGAGTTTCTGGATATCACCAGCATCCGGGACACCCGCTTTGGGAAGTTTGCCAAGATTCCCAAGGTAGGTGGGCCCAGTAGCAGCGCAGGCTCAGCATGGTCACCGGCTCCCTGGGAGGGAGGAGAGGTCCCTGGGCTGGGCAACTGGCCTCCCCCTGAGCCGAGCAAGGGGTATGGTTGCTCCTGTCTCAAGGCCAGCCCTTGCCCCCAAATCACCCAGGCTGTCTTGGGGGTGTGGCTCCCAACCCCCCCCCCCCCAACTCCCTGACTGGTTTGCCTATATTTGCTTAATGCTCATAGAAAGATTGGAGGAAGGGATTGGGGGAGCAGGATTCCCTGAGCCAGGGAGCTAAGAATCTAGATTCAAATGAAAAAATGGCAAACAAAATACGCAGGACTCCCAAACCCCATGGCCTGGGTTCAGATCTGGTGGGTTTCTCCCTCCCGGCCCCAGGCCCTGAAGGTGGGGATAGGAAGATGCTGGGGCCGGTGGCTCCTAAGATGGGACTGGGATCCTACCCCAGTGGCCGAGGGGGAGGGAAAGCAGCGCCACCGAGGGCAGGGGCGACCCTCACCATGCCCCCTTTGCTGCAGAGCCAGAAGCTCCGGGAGGTCTTCAACCTGGACTTTCCTGACAACAACTTCCTGCTGAAGACACTCACTGTGGTGTCTGGCCCGGACATGGTGGACCTCACCTTCCACAACTTCGTCTCCTACAAGGAGAATGTGGGCAAGGTGCACTGGGGTCACCGGGCCAGGGGCTCGGCACCGGGCGTGGCCTGGACTTCCTGAGAGACAGGCCTGGGCTGGGGGGTGGCGTGGCCACCTTTGAGGTCAGGGGCCTGACTGCTGTGCTCTGGGGTCCTGCAGGACTGGGCTGAGGATATACTGGCGCTGGTGAAGCACCCGCTGACAGCCAACGCCCCCCGCACCACCTTCCTGGACAAGATGTAAGTACCTGCCTGGCTGGCCTTAGAAGGGGGGCTGAGTGTGCCAGCCCAGGGCCTGACAGGCTGCTTTCTGCCCACCAGCCTGGTGAAGCTCAAGATGCAGCTCAACCCTGAAGGAAAGATTCCTGTGAAGAAGTGAGTCTCCCCCGTTCCCTCCCCACACTTCCACCCAGCTCTCCACAGCCTTCCCTCTCCAGGCATGACTCCTCTCTTTGTCTCATGCCTTCCTCTGCTCCTTTAGTTTTTTCCAGATGTTTCCTGCTGACCGAAAGCGGGTAGAAGCTGCCCTCAGTGCCTGCCACCTCCCCAAAGGCAAAGTGAGTGGTTCCCCCCTCCCCACCCCACTGTTCTCCTTGTCCCCTGAGCTGCCTCTGACCAGGAGGCAACTTGGCCAGGCCTGGTGAGTGTTGGAGAGGGTAAGAATGATAGCACATTCCCAGCAAACAGCCCCAAAGCCAGCTAACTCTAGAAGCGCTGGTTCTGATACACAAAGACAGAACCAGGCAAGGGGGGGGGGGGGGCGGTTTGCGGGGGTTGGGGGGCAGGATGCTCCAAGTTTGAGCAGGTTGTTCTCCTCCCCCTGGGTGGCAGTGGGGGCAGGGGGTGGGGTAGGAGTGGAGATGAATGTTTGCAGCTGGAGGAGCCAGAGAAGGTCAGCAGGGACAGAAGGCGGTCTGCAGGGATCTGAAAGGTGCAGCAGGCAGGGACCAGTTCTGCAGGGTGTGGGAAGCACAGAATCACACACCCTGTGAAAAGGGTTTAAGCTGCCAGGACACAGACTTTAGCTCAACACAGAAAAATGTTTTCCCTTTCTTTTTAGTTAAGTAATTTTTAATTACAAGTTGTATGCAGGTGTATTATGTAGTACACCCATAAGGTATATTATGGGCAGATGCAGGGCTGAGCCGGGGTTCATGCCTGGCTGACTGAGTGGGTCTCAGCCCCCTCTTCCCCCTTGGCCACGCCTTTGCACAGGGCACCACTTGCACCCCATGGAGTCTTTTCTCCTGCTAAGAATTTGGAACATTGTAATTAAACTAAGACCTCACTGATCACTTGTCCCCAGGAGTCTCAAGAGGATACTTCCCCCATAGTCACAGCTTTATGGGGCTGGTGACCCCTGGGTGCAGTCAGCCCCAGGGGATGCCAGCTTGGAGTGGGAGAGAGGGGGGAATGGGCTCCCGCTGAGGGCCCTACAGCCAGCAGGGCATACTGCGGTCAGTACACACCACACTCCTTTCTTCCTGCCCCCTGAGCTCCCACCTTGGCTAAGTCCTGATTTGTCAGCTCTGCTTGTGTCAGTAGGGGCCACTGGCCCATCTTTGCTTGAAGCTGATGGGTCCAAGAGCCAATCTTCGGGAAATCTGTTCTCGCTCTCCTGCTCCAAACTCATGTTGGCCTTCCAGTGTGGCCCTGGTGGACAGAGGATGCGTGTTTCTGGGATGGGATGTGATGCAAAGGCGCAGAATCCCTGGCTGGCGCTAGTCTACTTTCTGTTTCTATTTCTATAGATTTGCCTATTTTGGACATTTCGTGTAAATGGAATCATACAGCATGTGATCTTTGGTGTCAGGCTTTATTCACTTAGCATGTTTCCAAGGTTCATCCATGTTGTGGCATGTATCAATGCTTCATTCCTCTATATGGCCGAGTAGCAGTCCATTGTATGGATATATCACATTTTGCTTATCTATGCATCAATTGATGGACATTTGAATAGTTTCCACTTTTTTTGGCTATTATGAATAAAGTTGCTATGAACACTCATGTACACGTTTGTCTGGACATATGTTTGCAATTCTCTTGGAGATTATATATATATATATATATATATATATATATATATATATATATACCTAGCAGTGGAATTATTAGATCATATGGTAACTCTACTTAACATTTTGAGGAACTGCCAACTGGTTTCCAAGTGATCACACCATTTTACAGTCCCACCAGCATAGCGTGAGGGTTCTAATTTCTCCACATCCTCACCAACACGTATCTTTTTTTTCTTTAATTTTAGTCATCCTAGTAGGAGTGAAATGATATCTCATTGTGGTTTTGATTTGCATTTCCCTGACTAATGGTATTGCGCATCTTTCCATGTGTTTATTAGTTGTTTGAATATCTTCTTTGGAGAATTATCTATTCAAATCTATTGCCCATCTTTCAATTAGGTTATTTGCCTTTTTACCGCTGAGCTGTTGCTTCGTGGGTATCTGATTTGCAAATACAGGGTGGGGCAAAAGTAGGTCACAGTTGTTCTTATGGAAAGCAATCAAATAATTAATAAGTAAGAATATAAGAATAAGCCTTAGTGTACTCACAACTGTAAACCTACTTTTGCCCCACCCTGTATTCTCTCCCATTCGGTGGCTTGTCTGTTCACCTTTTTGATGGTGTCCTTCAAAGCATAAAAGTTCTTAACTTTCATGAAGTCCAATTTACCCTTTCTTGTTCTTGTTCTTGTGCTTTTTGGTGTCTTCAACTATTTGTTGTTGACTTGTCTATTTTTCTCTTTAATTCTGTCAGTTTTTATTTATTTTTTTAGAATATTTTTATTGATTTCAGAGAGTAAGGTAGAGGAGAGAGAGACAGAAACATCAGTCATGAGAGAGAACCACTGATTAGCTGCTTCCCGCATGCCCTCCACTTGGGATGGCGCCCACAACCATTCCCGCGACCAGGAATCAAACTGCAACCTCCTGGTTCGCAGGTCGGTACTCAGCTACTGAGCCCTGCCAGCCAGGCCTGTCTGTTTTACCTTACGCACTTGGGGGCTCTGTTGTTAGCTGCATTCTTTATATTCAAATTGCTTCTTTTTGAAAATTTGTTCTCCGCTTAAAAACAACAACACCTAGCCCACTACTCTGGCAAGCAGCACCACTTACTTCAGACCTCTTTTCCTCCTCATTCTGGTCATTCTTTCTTCTAATCCTGCCCCAGCCAAGAGACCACCCAGTGTCCAAATTCAGGGGCAAAGCGAACCAGCTAAGCATGCTCTTTGCTCAGCAACCAGGGCCTTGAAAAGTGGGGGCTCACAATTCACCATAGCTCAGATCTGCAAACAGCCTAAGTGCCCATCAGCAGATGAGTGGATTAGAAAGCTGTGGTACATCTACACGATGGAATACTACGCTACTGTAAAAAAGAAGGCGTTCTTACCATTTGCAACAGCATGGATGGAACTGGAGAGCGTCATGCTAAGTGAAATAAGCCAGTCAGAGAAGGATAAATATCCCATGATCTCACTCATTTGTGGAATAGAATGAACAACATAAACTGATGAACAAAAATAGAACCAGAGACAGAGAAGCATCAAATAGACTGTCCAACCTATGAGGGAAGGCGGGGGTGGGGGGTGGGGTAAGAGATCAACCAAAGAACTTGTATGTATGCAGATGAGCATAACCAATGGACATAGACAGGGCTGGGGGGGGAGGCAGCCGGGAAGAGGTCAATGGGGGGACAAAGGAGACTCGTGTAATGTTTTAAACAATGAAGAATTTAAGTTAGAAAAGAAAAAAGAAAAGTGGGGCTCAGCATGTCCTTAATGCCCCTCTGTCCGCCTGAGCCCTCCTTTGGATCGGGCCCCTAGTGCAGGGCCAGGCCTGGTCTGTGGTTCTTCGTGCTGAGAAGGTGGGGCAGCAGTGACAGGTGGCTTTATCTCCCCAGAATGACGCCATCAATCCTGAGGACTTCCCACAATCTGTCTATAAGAGTTTCCTCATGAACCTCTGCCCTCGGCCGGAAATAGACGAGATCTTCACTTCCCAGTGAGCTTCTTGGATTGGGCTGGGCATGGGGAAAGGGTGTGGCTAAAATTCCTACCTGCTATGCTGACAATTAGGAGGCTTTGCTGGACAAAGGGCCTGCCTGAGCTCCCAGCCTAGAGGATGGAGACCTGTGCTCTTCTCTTTGGCCTGCAGCCATGCCAAGGCCAAACCCTACATGACCAAGGAGCACTTGACCAAATTCATCAACCAGAAACAGAGGGACCCTCGCCTCAACACATTACTGTTCCCGCCAGCGCGGCCTGACCAGGTGCAGGGCCTCATCGACAAGTATGAGCCCAGTGGCATCAACGTGCAGAGGGGTGAGGACCGATGGAAGCCCTCACCCCTGTGGGCTTGTCCTGCTCTGACCCCTGGGCTGTGGCCCTGATAGTTATCCTCTGCCCGCCCCCCCCCAGGCCAGCTGTCACCCCAGGGCATGGTGTGGTTTCTCTGTGGGCCGGAGAACAGCGTGCTGGTCCAGGACAAGCTGCTGGTTCACCAGGACATGACCCAGCCACTCAATCATTACTTTATCAACTCCTCCCACAACACCTACCTGACAGGTGGGCCCTGGCCTCCTCACTACTGACTTCTCCTTCTATGGGGCTGCTGCTGTTCCCTGAATTCCTCGCGGGGTTGCCCATGGGCTGCCAACAGTACAGACCATGGCAGAGTGGGGTGGGGAGAGCCCTTGAGTGAAGCCCCTGCCCCCGCTTGCTCTGCCTCAGCCGGCCAGTTCTCGGGCCTCTCCTCTGCGGAGATGTACCGCCAGGTCCTGCTGGCAGGCTGCCGCTGTGTGGAGCTGGACTGCTGGAAGGGGAAGCTCCCCGATGAGGAGCCCATTATCACCCATGGCTTCACCATGACCACAGACATCTACTTCAAGGTGAGACTCCGAGTGTGGAGGATGGTGGTACAGGCACTAGGGAAGGTCCCTGGTCCCCAAGTTTTCTGGGTGTGGGGACCTGAAGCAGGAGGAATGGCTGGGGGCCTCAGACCAGCATGGGGTCTAGAGGAGATCAGAGGAGGCAGGGGGCTAACAGTGGTCTTCCGGATTTACGGATTTACGGATTTACGTGTGTGTGAAAACTGGGGAGAGGGGAAGGGTGCTGATGGGGGAGGGGAAGCCTGGAGCGAGGGGGCCTCGCTCCTAGGAGTCCTCTCTCTTTCAGGAAGCAATTGAAGCGATTGCAGAAAGTGCCTTTAAGACCTCCCCCTATCCTGTTATACTGTCATTTGAAAACCACGTGGACTCGTGAGTACCCAGGCCCATTCAGCCTCATTCTCTACTCTGTCCCCATCTTCCGCCCGTGCTGCCCTCCCCCAACTATCCCGGCCTCTACCCATGCCTTCCACACAATTCCCTCGAGACCCAGGCCCTCCTGCCTGTGTCCCTGCCGCCCCCACCTCTTGTGCTCCTGATGACCCAGATCAGGGGCCCGGGAGGATGGCCAAGAGGAGGGTGGCTGCTGAACCCTCCCCGCTTCTGCTCCCTCAGGCCCCGCCAACAGGCCAAGATGGCTGAGTACTGCCGGGCGATGTTTGGTGACATGCTGCTCACCGAGCCCCTGGAAAAGTTTCCGGCGAGTGGACTTCTCTGTGGGACACCTGGGGCTGGGGGCGGGGGACCGGGGGCACAGTGGGGCCAGGTTAACCCCGTGTCAGGCACTGTGCGAGGCTTGGGGGGTATGCTAGTGGCAAAGGTGCAGTCCCAGCCCTCACACTGCTTACCGTCTGGTGGGGAGAAAGACAGGAACCTGGCCATGCCAGCCGGTGGCTGCTCTGGGAGTCCTTGGGGAGTCCTGAACTTGTCTGGGGGATCGGGGAAGGCCTCCTGGAGAAAGCGATGGCTAAGCTGAAACCTAAGAGTGATGCTGTGTTTGTGTTGGTGAGAGTGGGGAAAGGAGTGTTAGCAGACAGAACAGGTGAGAGAGAACCTGTCTGAAGAACAGGGCAGAGTCGGGCCAGGCAGCGGTTTGGCACCCGGGCAGTGGTGAGAGAGAGGCCAGGCTGCGCAGTGGGCAGGGCAGTGGAGCAGTGAGAGCTCCGTGTGAAGGAACCGAGGCTGCTGACACTCTCCTCTCCCACAGCTGAAACCAGGCAGCCCCCTGCCCAGCCCTGAGGATCTCCGTGGCAAGATCCTCATTAAGAACAAGAAGAACCAGTTTTCAGTCCCAGCATCCCCCAGTGGGGAGGCTGAGGGCAGCTGCCCACCCAGTGCCCCTGTGGGTGGGGACACAGGTGAGTCAGCCCCAGAGCAGTGGGGGTAGCGGTGGGTGTGAGGATCTGGAATGGGAGAGAGGAGCTGGGCCTGGAGGAGACACGATGGAGAGCCAGCCTGGTGTGGGGGTCGCCCCCCCCCCGCCCCCAGAGCTGATGGAGTTGTGTGTGGCAGTGTTGGCTGGTGAGGAAAGGGCTGAGCTGGCGGAGGAGGAGGAGGAGGAGGAGGTGGGAGAAGAAGAGGAGGAGGAGTCGGGAAACCTGGATGAAGAAGAGATGAAGAAGATGCAGTCGGATGAGGTGTGTGGAGACAGCCCGGAGGCCCTTCTGCCATCTTGGCTGGAGAGTCCTCGGGGGGCCATGGGGCCATGTCCCTGGGCTCTGGGCACCTACTCTCCACTCTCCTCTCGCTTCCCTAGGGCACAGCGGGCCTGGAGGCGACAGCTTACGAGGAGATGTCCAGCCTAGTCAACTACATCCAGCCCACCAAGTTCACCTCCTTTGAGTTCTCTGCCCGTAAGTTCGCACGGGGTGGCGGTAAGCTGGAGGCTCGGCTAGACTCAGGAGGCCCTCAGGAAGTGTGTCTGACACCAGGCACTTCGATGGGCGGGGGTAAGAGGAAGGGGTCCTCGCCTTCCTTGGCCCGGGGCCCTGTCTATAAATACGAATCAGAGGAGTCAGGCCAGGGCTTAAGTGGCAGTGGCTCCATTTCCCAGCACAGTTCTGGGGGTCTGGCACCGTGCAGAATGCTCTGGAGTATGTCAGTGGCAGGCCGGCCGTTTATGACAGGCCACCTCAGCGGGGCTGGCCTGGGGCTCCTGCGGCTTCCTGCAGGTTCTGTGGCCCCTAAGCCCAGAAGCCCATCCCCAGGGCATAAGAACTCCGGGGGAGGGAGGGCTGGAAGGCAGAGCAGCCAGCCGGTGCACCCTACTTCTTGCAGCCTTCCCTTTTTGTGCACACCGTTATTCATCTTCCCCAGACACACAACGGTGCCTTCCTCTCCGCCTCTGTGCGTGTCCCCAACATGATCACCTCTTTCTGTGTACACTTGTGCAAAGTATATACCTCTGTAACCTTGTTTCCTCACCCCTGAACTCACAGGATGCACCCCTACCTGTGCCCCATGGCGTGTACCCCCCCCCCCAACCCTCAAGCCTCAGTGGACACGCTGGGTTAGATGCATCTCTGCTGGAGGCAGCTACACCGAAGGGGCGGGGGGGGGGGGTCGGAGGGAGTACCTCAGCCTGACATAGACCCTCCCTTTTCTTACTCCGCCACAGAGAAGAACCGAAGTTATGTCATCTCCTCCTTCACGGAGCTCAAGGCTTATGACTTGCTCTCCAAGGCCGCAGTGCAGTTTGTGGAGTATCCTTGAGGCCTCAGGAGCCAGGGTCCTGGTTGGGAGGAGGGATGGGGAAGGGCTCCAAGGGGGGCTGTTGGGTACTCCGGGTGCAGCCTCAGGCTGGCCTCCTATACTCTGGAGCAGCTACAACAAGCGCCAGATGAGCCGCATTTACCCCAAGGGCACCCGCATGGACTCCTCCAATTACATGCCCCAGATGTTCTGGAATGCTGGCTGCCAGATGGTTGCCCTCAACTTCCAGACAATGGGTGAGGCACTCTCAGGCCCTTAAGCCCCTTCCCTTGCCCTTCCCACCTTCACCCTGTTCCTGTTCCTGGGGGGTGGTCTTTAGAACAGACCGGATGTTCAAGTATTTGTTAGGTCCTCTCCCTTTCTTGGACGGGGGCCCGGTCTATAAATGTGCACCAGAGGAGTCAGCACAGGCTCCTACCTCCAGGTAACCTCTGGGCAGCTCCTGTGGATCCCTGGTCCCTTGTGTGCGTGTTTCGGGGTAGAAATGCGTTAGCTCATGCCTATATGACTGCACGTATGTATGAGTGTGTGTGCGAAGATGCCAGGAGCCGGCATGGCTGCTGGCTGCTCTCTGAGTGGGTCTGTGGGAACACCTGCTCCGCTGGCCTCCACGCCCACTGTGAGCCTGCGGCCTGGCTGTGGCTTTGGTCCTGATGATTCCAGGCTGTGGGCCCTTCCTGAGGGAAGAGACACCCTAAGAAACCCTCATGCCATGGTCGTTCAACCTCCCCGTTCACAAGCCGGGAGGAAGGCTGGGAACATGGAAACAGAGGTCGGACCTTCCTCACAAGCACCCTGTCCCCCAGATCTGCCCATGCAGCAGAACATGGCGCTATTTGAGTTCAATGGGCAGAGCGGCTACCTCCTCAAGCATGAGTTCATGCGTCGGCCAGACAAGCAGTTCAACCCATTCTCGGTGGATGGCATCGACGTGGTGGTAGCCACCACCCTTTCCATTAAGGCAAGGCCCCGAGGTGGACAAGTGGCCGGGAGGGCTGGCGTCTTGAGGAGAAAGACACAGAAGCCCCACTCCTCCACGCCCAACCCCCTCTCTGATATCCTGCAAACTTCAGCCCCAGCCAGCTCCTGCAGTAGCAAGTTGCCTTGGAAACTGCCTCCTCCTCAGCCCTGGAGGCTGCCTCTTGGTCCCCATGGAAACCAAGGGGAAGGACTGAGGCTGTGATGGGGGAGGGGAGAAGAGTGGGCAAAGTGGGGGTGTAGGAGCCCAGGCCCTGGGAGAGAGCCCTATTCCTTCCTTGCCTGGGAGGGGAGGTGGGGAGGCCCACACCCCGTCCTGAATGCTGGAAACACCCTCATCACCAAAGCTGAGCTGTAACCTTGAGCCACACAGCCTCTGGTCCGTGGCCAGAGCTGGGTGCCACTCTTCACGGTTCCCAAGAATGGATGCTTCAGCCAGAGAAGCTAGAGGCCCAGGTGCTGGGGAATGGCTGGGTGGGGGAGCTGATGCTGGTCTCCCACCGGCTCCCACCTCCAGGTAATCTCGGGGCAGTTCCTGTCAGAACGCAGTGTGCGCACCTATGTGGAAGTGGAGCTGTTTGGCCTTCCTGGGGACCCCAAGAGGCGCTATCGCACCAAGCTGTCCCCCACTGCCAACTCCATCAATCCCGTCTGGAATGAGGAGCCCTTTGTGTTTGAGAAGGTGAAGGGCTAGGGCAGGGCAGGGGCTGGGGTCTGGGAAGGGTAAGGGCTGTCCCTAATTCTTGGCCTCTACTTACAGAAAAGAGAAAATACTTAGAGGGAGTTCCTTGATCCTCCTCCTCTCCCCACCCCTCACTTTCTGCCCTCCTGAATTTCAAGAGTCCAAAAAACCAAGTTTACAGAAATATACTTGGTGCACAGGTTGTGTGTGTCTGTACCCATGTGTACATGTGTATGTGTGTGCCTGTGTGTGTGTTCATGTTAGGATCAGAGGCAGAAATATGAACTCCCAGACCAGAGTGCAAGGTCCCATGGGGTCACAAGGGGGCCTTTTGCCCCACTGGATACTTGTGATAAAGCTGTCACAGTTGTCTGCACCAGGACCCCCAGAGCCGTGGCTGCATGTCCAGCCCTACTAGCCTGAGTGGACTGGCCAGGACATGAGCTGTGAGGATGTCTATGTGCGTGGCCTAGAGTGTGCCCTCTGTCCTCACCAAACCTGGTCACACCTGCTATGTTCTCACACTGGCCCTGGACTTCTCAAACTAGGGAGGGGGTCAACTTGGCCACCCTCTCCTCCCCAGCGTGTCCTGTCCCGAACTCTCCCCAGATCTTGATGCCTGAGCTGGCCTCCCTCAGGGTGGCTGTGATGGAGGAAGGCAGCAAGTTTCTCGGACACCGCATCATCCCCATCAATGCCCTGAGCTCTGGTAAGGGTAGGGGCCCTTCTTCACTGTCCCCTGCAGGTCTGAGACCAAGGCCAGCAGCAGGAGCCCGTCCAGAGGATGGGCAGCTTCAGGGAGGTGGCCCTGAACTTTACCTAAGCCCTTCACGCCATCAGCCCTCAGGAGTGCAGCAGGAACAGCACCTCTGCAGGAGACGGGCAGAGGCGGGGCTCCGGCCATCTAACAGAATGTCTGTCATTTTCTGAAACCACTGGGGCAATCTCCCAAGTAGCTGACATCTATTGGGCACTTAAAATGCTTTAAAGTCTTATATTCTCACGTAATCCTGCTAACCTCATGAGGTAGATACCGTTATCCTTATTTCACGGACGAGGAGGGCTCAGAGATTTAAAGCAACCTTCTCAAGGTCACACAGCCAGGACTTGGACCCTGGCCTCTCTGACTCTGAAACCAGAAGCCTTGAGTGCTGGGCTGCTGGCATACAGTGCTGGGCGGCAATGGGCTCTGCTCACGGCCCCTCTGTCACGCCCACAGGATACCACCACCTGTGCCTGCGCAGTGAGAGCAACATGCCCCTCACCATGCCTGCGCTCTTCGTCCTCCTGGAGATGAAAGACTATGTACCTGACACCTGGGCAGGTTAGGCGGCCCACAGAGTGCTGGGAGCCTAGGGCTGTCCATTTCCACTCGGCCTTCCTCAAGGCAGCCTCCAGAGGGGGGCAGGACAGGGTATCCTGGGGGTAGGTGAGGGCTGGGGGGGGGGGCTCCCCAGTACTCTCCATACCAGGCCTGTGACGCCCCTGTGCACCCAGATCTCACTGTGGCCCTCGCCAATCCCATCAAGTTCTTCAATGCCCATGATAAGAAGTCTCTGAAGCTCAAGGAAGCCATGGGAGGTCTGCCTGAGGTCTGTGTGTCTGGGTCCACGGCCGGGGTCCCCAGCAGCTTTGCCCTCTGCGGGAAGGGGAGGGAGGCGCCGAGTCCAGGGCTGGGGAGAGAGGGCTGTTGGAGCCGTCTTCCTAACCTGCTCTCCCTACACAGAAGCCCTTCTCTCCCGGGAGCCCACTTGCCAGCCAGGTGAACGGGGCACCTGCCTCGACCAGCAGTGGGTCAGCAGGTATGCACTGCGGGGGTCCTCCCACCTACCGCGAGGGGTCCTGCCTTCTCCGGCTGCATCTGCAGGCGCCTCCCAGCAGGGCGGCAGATGTGTACAAAACTAAGACTTTCACCGAGGAAGGGAATGGGGTGTCTGAGGCCTCAGCGCTGAGAAAGTGCACCGCGGGGGGCCCACGCTGGCACCCCCAGGGGGCGGGGAGGAGCAGAGCTGAGCCCGGGGACCCCAGGACACCTGTCAGCCCGTCCTGTGGCTCCTGTAGCAGCTGGGCCCGGGCGGGGGGCAGGGAGGGGCCGGAAAGAAGCTGTGGGTGAGGCCTGCTGATGGTCCTGAGGACCCGCTTGGGGGACGTTCGGGTCTCGTGGGAAAGGCGGGGGCTCCCGGGCGGCGGGACGCCTCACCCGGCTCCCCGCAGAGCCGCGCACCGCCAGTCTGGAGGAGCTGCGGGAACTGAAGGGCGTCGCGAAGCTGCAGCGGCGGCACGAGAAGGAGCTGCGGGAGCTGGAGCGGCGCGGCGCGCGGCGCTGGGAGGAGGCGCTGACGCGGGGCGCGGCGCAGCTGGCCGAGCTGGGGCCGCCAGGCGCGGGGGGCGGCAGCGGCGGCCGCAGGCTGGGCCCGGGCAAGGGCTCCCGCAAGAAAAGGTAAGGGCCGTGGCGGCGCCTGCTCTCCGAGCGGGTGCGGGCGGCCCGGGGCTCAGATCTGCTCCCCGCGGCCTCCGCAGGACCCAGCCCGGGGAGGAGCCGGCCGGGGCCGTGCCGGGCGAGGGCCCCGAGGGCGCGGACCCGCGCGTGCGGGAGCTGAGGGACCGGCTGGAGCTGGAGCTGCGGCAGCAGCGCGAGGAGCAGTGCGAGTGCGTCCTGAAGCGCAAGGAGCAGCACTTGGCCGAGGTGCCAGGGCGGGGGAGGGGAGAGAGCTACAACCCGACCAAACTCACACCCTCTGCACCCCGCGAAGCCCGTTTGCTAACCCCCTCCTTCTCTCCCTGCAGCAAATCGCCAAGATGATGGAGCTGGCCAGAGAGAAACAGGCCGCAGAGCTTAAGACCCTCAAGGAGACCTCAGAGAGGTATGCCTGCCTCCCTCCCAAGCCTGACTCTCACCTCCCAGGAGGGCTCAGGCCCCCACAAAACCTCTGGCTCAGCCCCCCACCCCAACATCTCCCCGATGCCTGTCTCTCTACAGCGACACCAAAGAGATGAAGAAGAAGCTGGAGGCCAAGAGGCTGGAGCGGATCCAGGCCATGGTGAAGGTCACCGCTGACAAGATGGCCCAGGAGCGGTGAGCCCGGAAGAGAGGCCCAGGCCCAGCGCTGAGCAGGAGCCACTCCAGGGGGGCAGGGGCCTCCCTCCCGAGCATCCTGACTCGCTTCCTAGCCATGTGCCTGTTCCATGGCACTTGAAAGTTAATCTTACTTCTGTCACCTCCGATTAGAGTGACCTCCTTAGGCAAAACACAGGTGCCAACACTGCTTGGCCAGAGAGGAGAATTTAAGGGAAAATCCAGAGGGAGGTGAAACCTTGGCACACCTTGAAGGACAGTGCACGTTCCTTCAGAGGGTCGCCCAGGACTTCCAGTGGGCCCTCAAACCCTCCGTGGATCCCCATGTCACCCCTCTGGCTGCTTCCTGCCCCTACTGCATAGTCCTTATTTGGTCTATACCCTGAGGAGTCTTCATCTCACCCAGCTCTTCCCAGGGGCCTCCTGCCCTCTGTGAAACTCTGATCACCCCAACAGGTTGAAGAAAGAGATTAACAACTCCCACATCCAGGAGGTGGTACAGGCCATCAACCAGGTATGTAACACTGTGTCCTTCACACACACACACACACACACACACACACACACACGCTCTCCCTCAGAGAGAAAATGGGTCTTACTTTGCCCTTAGGAGATATACTGTCCAGAGTGGCCCATGCAGCTAGGGAAGGCAGGAGGCAGTGCAGGGAGAGGGGACCCCCTAGGCCAGCCTGAGGTTCTGGTCTTTCTGTGGAGATGGAGTACTACCTGTCAGCCGCCCTGTCTGGAAAGGATATGAGCCAGCTGGCCAGGGAGGATGGAATTGGGGTGGGTGGGTGAGAGGGAGCTAGGAGGAGTCCGAAGAGAAAGGAAACGCCTGCTGGGAATGGACCGAAAGCTCGCCTGGGGATTAGCAAAAGTAGCAGAACTACCAGCTACCGAGTCCTGCCCTTAGCCAGATACTAAACCAGGTGCTTGACATGAACCGTGTCATGTAAACCTTCATAATAATCCAGCGAGACAGGTACTATTATCCTCATTTTACAAATTAAAAAGACAAAGGACTTTACCCTAAGTTTTATGGCTGGTTAACTGGCATCACAGCTGGATGCCAAGCCAGATGGCCTGTCTGAGCTGCCCTGCTTCCTGCCTCTCACTCCCATCAGATGACAGAGAGCCTGGAGAGGCACCAGGAGAAGCTGGAGGAGAAGCAGGCGGCCTGCCTGGAGCAGATCCGGGAGCTGGAAAAGCAGGTGACAGGAACCGCCACCCTGGCCCCCAACAGAGTTGGCCCGGCCCCAGGTGTAAAGGGACCCTGATCCAGGGAGCGTCCAGTCAGGAGTTCAGGAGGTGGGGACTCACCCCTCACCAGTGGGTTCCATTGGGGCCCTAGAGCCCTTTTACATGAGGCGGCTCTGCAGGTCTCTTTGCTTGTTTGGCACCCCCTCTCCTGAGAGGCTCCCTGATGGGCTCCACTATGCCCACTTCCCACCTCCATCTCCTGGGAGCTTGGCAAAGACTGGGTATCTCCTTGTTCCATTGTCCAAGGGCGGGAGAGTGGGCAGGTGGCCCCTCCTGAGCCAGCTGGTGGTGCTTGCTGTCCCCACAGTTGCAACAGGAGATGCTGGCAGAGTACGAGGCCAGGATGAAGGGCCTGGAGACTGAGGTGAAGGAGTCGGTGAGGACCTGCCTCAGGGCCTACTTCCCTGCTGAGGCTGAGGACAAGCCCGAGAGGTCCTGTGAGGCATCCCGGGAGCTGTGTGAACAGGACTCACTTACAGTCAATGCAGACACCCAGGAGAGCTGCCTCTGATACCCCCATCCAGCTGGGACATTCTGCAAGGACATTCCCTCTTCTGTTGGGCGGGGCTCCATCCCCCCAGGAAGAAAGACCCCAGCAGCCCCAGTGCTCGGAGGCTGTGGGAAGCTGGGGTTCCCCTGGACTCTGGAGCCGTCTCCTCAACAGCCAGGCTAGAGGAGGAGGCAGGGATGCCATCAGGGCAGGGGCTTGTCTGAGGCCCAGAGGTCCTCTCTAAGCTGCCTTCCTGCTCCTGCTCCTCCTTGAATTAGTGTCATCCATTTGTTGAGGGCAAAAGAATATGGACTGAGAGGCAGGGAATGGGGTCCTGGCCTCACCCTGCGTTTCCTAGGGTGCAGCTAGTGGCACCCACTCTGGAGTCAGTTTCCTCACCTGGAAGGTTAGGCCTGGCCTCCTGGAACCTCCACTCAGCACCTGTAATTCAAGCAGGACCTGTTCTGCCGTAAGGCTGGCAGCTCACCCAGGCTTCTCGGCCCCATCACAGGCGGGCCTGCCCTGAATTGGCCTCATTGTCTGCTCCCTGATTCAGAGCCTGGCACTACCTCCAAGCTCCCTGGGGCCTGCTACCCCTAGGATTCCAGGCTGAGGTCCCTTCCCTGGCTTCCTGCCTGAGGGGTGGGGTGGGGGGAGGCTGACATGAAAACGCTGCCTCAGCTGTCTGGCTCTCCGCCCCAGAGGCAACTGGGGCTGTGGCTGGTGGTGAGAGGAAAAGGATGGCCTTTTGAGCACGTTCCCATCCAGAGCCCGGCTCACCCCTTTTCCTAGGCTTGGCGGGTGTATTTCCTAACATGTACTCCAACCCAGGCTTCCTGACAAGGTCACATTTTTTTTCTCTTCTAACTTTATGAGGTTTATTTATTTTTCTCATTTTTTTATTCCTACAAAAGAACTCTGTCCCAATATTTCCTGCCTAAGCCTGGCCTCTGTTCTACAGCTGAGAAATGGGGAGGAGGGGAGGAGAAAGCCCTGAAATGAAGCAGGCTGGGAAAACCCTTGGGAGTGGAACCCGGGGGAAAGGTGTCCTCCAGAGCCCAGCAGAATGGTCCTGCCTCTAGGCTTGAAGAGGATTCACTTCCCTTTCTGTCGACCCTGCTGCCACAGCCACTGGAAAATGATGTCACCCCTCTTCTCCACCCTCACCCAGTGTGGCCCTTCCTTGTCTCCACCCTCAGGGCTGGAGCAGAAGAGCCTATACAAAGGTGCCCCCACCCTCTTGGAAGTTGCAAACCTTTAGGCCACCTTACAGGGGTCAGCTCCTCAGGCCCCTGGGGTAGTTAGGGTTCACCCAGCACTTGCTGCGGAGGGGCTTGTGGGCAGCCACTCACTGCACTTATGGCACTGTCCCAAATCCAAATGGGAGGAGACACTGGTTTGGGAGAGGCAGGGTGGGGTTGATTCTGGGAAGAAGTTGTTTTCTTATCAGAGGGTTATAGCAAATGCCAATAGGTGTGAGCACCTGTGCCTTTGGAAAATGAACAGGACTCCCCCCCACCCCCACCCCATCCCTCTGGGATCCCAGCAGTCCCTGGCCGCAGGGTGAGGCTAAGGGCCTGCTCATTGATACAGTCAAGGGCAGTGCCCTGTCTTCAGTCCTCCAGCTGGGCACTCAGCTGCCCAGCTGCCCTCCAGCCCAGGGTAGCACCCAGGCCTAGAGGAACTCACTGACCCAGGCCTGGGGCAGAAGCCAGAGCCAGCACCAAACAGAGCCCACGGGGCATCATCCCCCTTGTTGTGCCAATGACTGCGCAGGGGGAGGAGGGCTGTTTCCCCCGCCTCTGAGCCAGGCCTGGCAGAGTCTCTGGGCCCCAGGAAGCCCAGGAATGGGGAAGGAAACACAATCCTGCCTCCTAGAGGGGCCTCTGCACACCCAGTACCACCTCCCTGCCTCTGTTCTCTTAGAAAAGGGCCAGGTGCCCCCGGGGAAATGCCAGTCTCTGGGCCTCGGAGATGAATTAATTTCTGGCATCAGGGGATGTGCAGAGGAAGAGTTGCCCTCCCTCGGGCACTGGGCAGGTGAAGGGCACCTGGGTTCCATTCCTGATGTGTATCTATGGGGCTGGGGCAAGGTTCCCTGTCCACTTGTCATGCCTCAGTTCACCCTTTGAAGGGTCCCTACCCACTTCCCAATCCCAATGCTGATTCAGTTGCCAGAGTCCCCTGTTGACTCACCAGCCCCCTGCACCCCCACAGCCTTCAAGCTCTCTAGATCTGCCAGCCTCGTGCCACCAGGCCCAACCCTGCTGAGCTGGTGCAACGTGACAGGGTGAGGGGGTTGGTGACACTTGAGGAAAGAAGCAGGCCTGGGGGGGGGGGGGGGCAGCGGCAGACAGTGACAGACTGCAGACCTGAGCCGCCTCTGCTAGGGAGTCCTTTTGCCAGCCTGGGGCCTGCAGGGGGAGAGGATCAGCGGGTGGGAGGGGAGGGGAGTGTGCAGCGCCTGCCTGCCCCCTGCCTGCCTCGGCTCTATCTCCTGTCAGCCTTCAGCTCCCTAAGCGACAGCTTCTAATTCGGGCTCTTGGTGCCTCTGTGCTCTGCAGCGAAGTCTCAGCCTCTTTTTCAGCTTTGCTATTTCTTTTCTGTTCAGAACATATTGAGCCCACAGGAGGGAAGTCAGAGTAAAGGCTCCAGGGCCAGAGACCTGGCCGCCAGGCCCCCCCATCTCTCCCCCCCCACCCCCCTCCCCGCCACACACACACACAGGTCAGGCCTGCTTGGCAAGGCCAGCTGGGGGACAGGGAGCCAAAGGGCAGCCAGCATGGGGCTTGGACAGGCCAGGATGAGGGCCTGAAGGGGACCTGCCTCAGCTCCTCTTCTTCCACAGAACTGTCCCCCCTCCACGCTCCACAGGGACATAAATGAGACAGAGTTGTCTCAGGGAGGCTCAGGGGAGAGGGGCCTGACTCTTTAGGACCCAGTCCGTGTTCCTGCTGCTTCTCTCCGCCATCTGGGGGCAACACTGCCTGGGTGTAGGGTGGTCTGCCACACGCAAATTCCAGAGGTGCCCTCTCCCCTGACCCTGAAAACAGAGAAAGAAGGAAAGCAAGCAATTCCCTCAGGGGGAGAAAGGGGAAGTTGAGTCACAAAGGGAAGAAAAGCGTTTCTTCTGCTGTCTGAGTAAAGAGAGAGAGCATTCCCCATCCTTATGGGGGCTGGAGAGTCTGTACGCGCCCTGGGCGACAGCCAGGAGGGGCCCCCAGGTCTGAGGGAGGCACTGAGCTTTCTGCTTGCTGAGTAATTGTGCAGCTCTCTTCCTGACACTCTCGCAAGATCTTGCTTGAAGCAGGCAGGGTGGTATTATCCACTTCATTTTGAAGGTGGGGATATGCAAGCCTGGAGCCACTCTGCTAGTCAATGCCTTCAGGCTGGGACTTAATTCTGATGTTGAACACTGTACCCTTTCTGTGACACCATGAGAGGAAGCTGGCAGAGCCCTGAGCAGAGGGATGAAAAATGCAAAGGAAAAAGAGGGGCTTTACAGTGTATGCGGGCATACATCACATGTTCCCTCAGGACAGTGATCTGGGAACACCTGCTCCATGGCTGGCCCCCATGGCAAGTGGGCATCCCTGGGGCCTGGGAGCTAGAGAGAAGCAAGAAGTTCAGGGTGCGGGGCCATGTGCCCACTTTGCCACCCAACCACCGTCTTCTTCCTAGAGGTAAATCCCCTGCCTGCCCCATACCTTTCCCCAGGCAACTCCTGCTGCAAAGCTTTTTGTCACTGCTCTGACCAGGCTAAGGACACTGTTATTCTTCCCTTAATTTCATGTCTTTCATAGGGAGGGACCCTTCCAAACAGCCTCCAACACTGTCCCTCCTCCCTCCATGCCCTTGCTTCAGTGAGCCTGTCTGGAATGTCTCCTTCCTTGTTTCTTAGCAGCCAGACCCCATCCCACACTTCCTTGAAGACCACCTTGGAAGCTCTATCTTTAGAAGATTTCAGAGCCTCCCTTCCCAACAACTCCTACCTTTTCCTCTAAGGACCGTCTCCTTTGTCTTTAACAGATGTGTTCTGCCCTCAGGTGATAATCTCCACTTTTTATGTCTTGGTCCTGTCTTCCCCCTTGAGAGGGGAGGTCTTTTCTATCCAGAACTGAACTTCTGTTTCTGTATTTCCCACAGCTGGAAACAGCTGGAAGCCTGGCTCACTAAAAAAAATCTCAGTAAATTCTGTAGTTGGTACCTGATTCACTTCTTCCTTTACAAAAATCCATTCCAACCCTACACACCCTCCCACATCCCTTCAGCTCTGAGCGCCCTGACTCCCCTCACCGGAGGCCTGCCCGCCCCGCTCGCCAAGGCCACCACCAGGGCAGCCCCCCAGAGGGAGACTGGAAGCGGTGGCTTCCAGGGCAGCCATTGCCACAGAGACCCCCCTATTGACTTGAGCTCTCCTCTCTATTCAAAGGGGTCAGGTAGCGGCCAAGGCCAGAGCCTTGTGGTCTGGGGGTGGTGTGACGCTGAAGAGGGAGTTGGGAACCGGGGGAGCCTTGCGTGTGTCCCTTGATCATTGCTCTTTCCCGGATGGCGCCTGTCCTGAAGCGGCGAGGAGGCGGCGCCCGGGAGTTGCTCCCGTGGCTGCAGCACTCAGGGATCCGAAGGCGCCCGCTCCGCCTGCTTCTCAGCCGCCGAGAGCTGGCAGGCGGGCACGTTGTAGGGGTTGGAGACGTCGGAGATTGGCGGGCACCCTCTCCTCCCACCCCCACTCCGAGCGAGCCTGTGCGGGAGGAACAATTGTGAGTGCATGGTTTGCGACACTTCGAGTGGCAGTTCCCAGCCAGACTGAGCGCCCCCCATCCCGCGCACAGCGCAGCTACTCCCTCCTCCGAGTTACTCCCAGCCCGCCTTTCGCAGCCACCCTGGCTCGCTCAGGGTCCGGTTCTGCTCCCATGGGGCGCCATTTCCTTCCACCCGGACGGCTGGGGGCAACCCGCGGTCTTCCCCGAAGGCCCCGAGGTCCCACCAGTTCCTAAAGGGCCCAGGGCAGCGACTCCGCTGGGCAGAGGGCGGGGAGAAATGACTGACTTTTGGATTGGTGCCTGTGGCCCACGGCGAGCAGCCCCCGCAGCCGCCGCCGTAGCCCCAGGGGAGCGTGGAGGAGGAGCCGCTCCCCCACCGCGAGGCCCACGGAGGTGTGCGGGTCAGGGGCGGTCTCCCCCGCCCCGTCCTTTTCTGCCTTGATGGTTCAGCCCGCTTCCAGGGCAGCCATTTCCAGAGAGACCTCCCCCCCACCCCAGGCTACAAAGCCAGGTATCCAGGTGGGCGGCGGCTCCCGCGCTGCTGAGCCCCCCACGAAAGGAGCAAGCGCCCCGGCGTGGCCCGGCCCCCGCGAGAGGGGAGGAGGCGGAGGAGCGGCGCTAGCAGCTAGAGGAGAGGCGCGCCCCGCCGGGGCTAGAGGCAGGCGCGGAAGGCGGGCGCCACCGTCTCAGCAGGGGAGCGGGGGCTGCCCCGGGCGCGGGTGAGTGGCGCGGCTGCAGGCCACGGGGGACTGAGGCCCCGGACACGAGGAAAACAGCGGGAGAGTCAGGAGGGGGCAGAGTTTCGGCTCCAATCATCGCGTGGCGGGCCAGGCGCCGAGCGTGGAGGAGCGAGCAACCTACACCTCCAGGCGGGCGGGAAGCCCAAGGGAGGAGCAGCGTGCGGCGCAGTTGCGGCAGGGCAGCGGGAGCAGCGGGGGCACAAGAGTGGGAAGCCAGGAACCTCGGCCGCAGCCGCCCCCGCGGAGAGGGCGCCACGCCAGAGCACCGCGGAGGCCGGAGGCCGGTGGGGCGCGGGAACAGGGGCGCCCCCGTGCGGAGCTGCCGGGCCGCCTGGGCGCGGCGGCCGGTGCCATGCTCAAGCCCAAGGACCTGTGCCCTCGAGCGGGCACGCGCACCTTCCTGGAGGCCATGCAGGCGGGCAAAGTGCACCTGGCCCGCTTCGTGCTGGACGCGCTGGACCGAAGCATCATCGACTGCCGCGCGGAGCAGGGCCGCACGCCGCTCATGGTGGCCGTGGGGTTGCCGGATCCCACGCTACGCTCGCGCTTCGTGCGGCTGCTGCTGGAGCAGGGCGCGGCCGTGAACCTGCGGGACGAGCGCGGCCGCACGGCGCTCAGCCTGGCGTGCGAGCGCGGCCACCTGGACGCCGTGCAGCTGCTGGTGCAGTTCAGCGGCGACCCCGAGGCGGCCGACTCGGCGGGCAACAGCCCGGTGATGTGGGCGGCGGCCTGCGGCCACGGGGCGGTGCTCGAGTTCCTAGTGCGCTCCTTCCGCCGCCTCGGCCTGCGCCTCGACCGCACCAACCGCGCGGGCCTGACCGCGCTGCAACTGGCCGCCGCCCGCGGCCACGGAACCTGCGTGCAGGCCCTCACCGGCCCCTGGGGCCGCGCCGCCGCCGCCGCCGCGGCTCGGGGCTCCAACTCCGACAGCCCCCCCGCTCGCCCGGCTCCCGCGCCAAGCCCGGAGCGCCGACGACCGAGCCCCCGCCGCCTGCCGCGGCCTCTCTTGGCGCGCTTTGCGCGAGCGGCCGGCGGCCACGGCCATGGCGGCGAGGCTGGCTCTGGGGGCAAGAGCTCGGGCCGGCACCGGGCGCAGGGGAGCGAGCGGCCCGAGCTGGGCCGGAGCATGAGTCTGGCTCTGGGAGCTGTGACGGAGGAGGAGGCGGCTCGCCTGCGGGCGGGAGCCCTGATGGCCCGACCACACTCTCCCCAGTCGTCGGGGACCGGGCGGTGGCGTTCGCATGAGGTGCTGGAGGGAGCGCCGCCTCTGACCTTGGCGCAAGCTCCCATCGGCCTCAGTCCGCATCCCGAGGGCGGCCCGGGCTCTGGCCGCTTGGGTTTGCGCCGACGCTCCACGGCTCCCGACATCCCCAGCCTGGTCGGGGAGGCACCGGGGCCCGAGAGCGGCCCGGAGTTAGAGGCCAACGCTGTGCCGCACTCGACGCCTGGGCCCCAGCCTTGGCAGGCGGGCACGGAGGAGGCCGTGGTGTTGCATGATCAGCGGTAAACAGCATAGAGGACCAGCCGAGTTCCCTGCACCTGCCTGCCTCTGCTCCACTGGGATTTCTCTTCCTTCCAGGTCCTCTCTTTCCTGGCAGTTCCCCTCCCATCTGACCCCACTGCTGAGATGAGTGGCCTTCTCTCTGAAAGGGACCCCTATTATTTCTTTTTTGTGCTTGTTGGTATTTTTGGTATTCCCTGCCTAAGTCCCACCTTCCCTACAGCCTGCCTTTCTTGTCTGGAAAGGCTGGTACCATGGGCTATAGCCTCCCAGGAAGATGGACACCCTCACCCCCTCCACCGTAAGGCTCAGTCCTGAGTCTGTGGCTCCTGCCTGGCCTCCTTCCCATTGTCAGGTTTCCCCACACCCTGGCAGCCAGGCCCGAAGACTGAACCTGTACAAGGGCCTAGCCCCCCCGCTCTCCCAGGGATGCTGACAATCATACCACGCACGATCTAAGTTTCCCATTCTCTTAAGTTGGAGAAGGGGAGCAGCTAGGTGGGCCTCAGAGACTAGGGCTGATTAGGAAAGAATCACCGGGTTAAGTTTTCCTGGGGAGACACTCCTGCCCCAGGACAATGAAAGCCTATCTTGGAAGTGGCAGAGCCCCGGGTGTTGAATGCTTTTTGTCCCTGGAACCAGCTTCTCGGTAATTGCAGTTCCTCCACCTCTGACCCAGGCCTACCAGAATTCAGCGTCGTTGACAATGCGTGGTCATTGCCCCAGCCAGCGCCCACCCAGCCCATCGCAGGCTCGGCTACATTTGAGTCCCATCTTTGAGGTCTCACCCCTCCTGGCCCAGCCTATTTCCTCTCGCTCTCAGAGGCCTGAAATGAAAAGGACTTAAGCACTTCTCCCGCCCCCATCGCCTCCCAGCTCCCGCATCCCACACCGTGGGTGCTCCTGCGGGTGGACCGGTTGCGAAGGTTTGGCTTAATTGTATTTGTTCCAATCCTCAAAGAGCTGGTGTTTTGAGCCTTTGTATATGAAGCAGAAAGCAGCAGGTCTGATCCGCGGCTTAAGAACCTGACAATGTCTCTTTAAATAGAAGCTCCGCGAGGGGGATAATTGACTTGAAGTGTTTGCCACGTTAAACGGCGGCGCGCGGGAGTCGGAAGCCCACACGAGCCGCAGGCCCGGGTTTAAATTACATCAGACTCCGGCGAGAGCCGGGAGGGGGCTGTTAAAAGGCTCCTGCCTCTCGCTGGGCTGTTAATGGAGGGCAGGGCGGATGATGGATGCTAGAAGTCGAGACCAAGGACCCCTGCTTCTGCTCCAACGCGTGGGACGCAGGCCCGGCCCCGCTCCATTGCTGGGCAGATTAGTGAGTCAGAGGCAACCGCAGAGAGGAGGCTAAAAGCCCCTTCCCTGCGGCCCGGTCCTCGTTCTGTTCCCTCCCTCACCGCCTAGGCGGGTCTGGCGAATCGCGAGCTCTAGGACCCTGCGGGAGCGCTAGCACTTGTATCTGTGCACCGCCCGTCAGGTAGAGGCGCGTGGGGGCTCTTTCTGTGAACCCCGAAGGTTGAACGTGCACCCCCTTTTTTACTAGCAGAGGGGTCTTTACAGACGTCGATCTGCTCGTCTTTGCAGAACGGAAGGTTTCTCACCAGTAACTCTAAGGGAGCTGCCCAAGGAGAGAATGACCTGTGCTGAGAAATTGGGCCTGGGGGTGAGGAGCGGGTCATGTGGGGTAGCTGTCAGATAACTCCCCAATCCTTCCACCTTTCCAGGCCCGTGAGGCCGCCAGGGCCCTACACTGGACGCGATCTCTGGTGCCCCCTGGTGGCAGCACTGCGCTCTCTTCGCTGCGCCCTAGCTCGGAGTTTGGACTTCCAAGTTTTATTTGGGATCGCCGCCGTCTACTTCTCCCTCCGTGTGCATTTACCCATGGAATCCTCAAACTCTTGTAGTATATTAAATCCTTATACTTGAAGTCATTTCACAGCAATGCAGTGAGGGACAATGAACAAACACTTCGCATTTGGAGTAGCGGGAACCCAGACCCATCATTAAAGACCCCAAGATCTTCCAAGTTAAGGTTCTGTGTCCTGAGTGGTCCTGCTGTCTTCTGAAAAACTGGAGCCCCCAAACCCTCCCTTACAACCGCTGAACCTGGGGACCTACCGATTATGCACTGTTGTGTGTTTTTTTTCTGACGAGCTTTGCTTTTGTTGGGGGGCATTTTGCCCTTTCCTCACTTCTTTCTTCTCAAACATCTGCTGGGATTCCCTTCGTTCCGCTGTCTGGGTGGTGGGTAAACAATACAGAAGCTCCTGAAAAGCTAGACGGAGAGGGTCTGGGGAGAGATGGGGGTAATTGGACACCCCAAGTGCAAATTCCTTTTTTTCTGATCCTTGCTTGCTCACTTATTCCAACTGTGTTTAATTTTCATGAAATTTCTAATGGCGTAAGAATACAAGCATTTTGGCTTCAAAACACCATGAGGTCTGGGTTGCACATTGTGTGGAAGGTGCTGTATCTTTCAAGTGTCACTGACGGGACTTTGGTTGAATGTCACCTTGCGCCCTCTTTATTGGGTGAGCAGCCATGAGGGTTGCTCTCCCTGGATTTGCCCAGGGCTGGGTGGTTGAAAGTGATATTTCTGAAAAACAGCCGATTGTTCCTGCCTGAACTGAATTGTGTGTCCGAATGGCTTGCTGTTCTTACAGATTTCTTACCAGGCCCAGCTCCGTGCAGAACTTAAACGTTTCACCACATTCGCTTTCCTGAACTTCCACTCATTGTCAGCCCCAAGGACGTTGGGGCTGGGGTCCTCTCTAGCTCTCTCCACTTTAGAAGAGCCTTTTAAACATTTTGCTTTTCCAGTCCTCGTTGCTTTTGTCATTGCGAAGTGTTACCCATGCCACTGGAGTCTGGTCTTCTAAGATCAAACTCAGAACTGGTCTGTGCGAGGCTGACTGATGTGTGCACATGCTTTTGGGGTGACACTGTGTGGGGAAAGGACTATTAGAACTCAAAAGAATAATAAATCCAGTATTGTTCAGTTTCAAGAACTGGCCTCTCTTTGCCTTACCAACCATTCCTGAAGGTGGGCTCCCTCTGGAGAGGTGCGTAGGTACACTTGCCTCCGTCTCTGCCCCTCCCTCTGTGTCTGCCTCCAGAAGGTCAGACTCAGGTGCTGTTTCCGGCTGAGCTGGTGGCACTAGGGCCCTCGGAGCAGGGCAGCTATCTAGCTGGGAATGCTATGGGGACAGGAGATGGTCTGCATGGCCCCTTGCTCCTGGTTAGGAGGTTTCAGTGAGCCCTGGCTTAGGCGGTAGGATGCTTCCAGCTCTTAACTCTCAAGAAGTACTGGAATCAGTGTCAGAGCTAGAAGTTTCAAGATAATTTCATCCACTCACCTCAATCCCAGGACTAGAACTCAGGTTTCTTAATTTCCAGCCACTGCGCTATCAAAACTCCTGTCTCCCTCAAAACAGAGGCAGCTTTCTCATTGGAAGCAGTGCCAGGCCCTTCCTAGGGACAGCTCGAGGAGAGCAGCCTTTGACTTTCCAGGGAGGGAGAAGCTGCTGCAGAGTGGTCATCAGCCCTGGTGGCTGCCCCCAGAGCCCATGCAGGGCCAGCAAGCCGGACACTCGGCCCTGGGCCTGGCTGGGCTCTTCTCCCCGGGGAAGGAACCTGTTTCCCAGCTCTTTCAGGCCCAAGGGTATTTCACTTCCTGTTTCCCCCATTCTCTGCCCACACACCACCAGGGAATTGGGTTTTCTGTGGACTAGCGTGGCCACTGGGAAGCTCCCGTTGGGGAGGAGGAGGGCCACCTAGACACCCACTCTGAGTGGGTGTCCATTTGAGTGTCCATTGAAAGACAACTTAGCTTCACTCCCAGAGACAACAGGAAGTCCGAGGTTTTGAACACTCAGTTTAATTTAAAACAGGCACAAGTGCAAACAATTCACAAAAGTTTCTAGGGAAGATGCTTTTGTTTTTAAAACTGACCTTTAAAAAAGGTAGTTTTCCTTGTAATTTTCTTTTTTGCCCCAAATCAGGCCACAAGGGAGCAGAGGAATCTAAAAATATGATCTAGATTGGGCCCAGACACCTGGAGTGCTTCGCTGGGCTTCCCTGTCTCACAATAGCCCTGAAGGTGGGGAAGGAAGGAGGACAAGAGACAGGTGCCCAAGGAGGCAGTGAGAGGCAGATGGTTTTCACAAATGGGGTGCCCAGTCTCTTGACCTGATGGAACCCCGGGAGCTGGTTCACCTCCCCCAGACCAGGATTTTGAAAAGAAGGGTCCCTGATGTCCTGGTGATTGAGATGAAGCTAACAGGTAAAATGAAGTTTCTTTCCTCATCCTTGCACACGTGGGCTCCGACTCCATAGTACGGGAGAAACTCGGAAAGCTGCCTAGCCCTCCGATGTGTCGGCCTCAATGCAAACCTCTTCTCTGGTCAGGTAGAGACACAGGACGTAAGGGGTGGGAAGCCATGCCAAGGAAGCAGGTCTCTTCAGAGCAGAACTCAGTGGGAAGGAGGATGAGGAAGCCTTACTGAAGGGGCCAGGCTGTCAGGGTGACCTTCACACACACACACACACACACACACACACACACACACCAGCACTTGCATCCTGTAAAGTGACACCACCTTTACCACCAACCCCAGTATCTCTCTTTCACCCAGAAAATGTCCCTTCTGCTCCCATGGCCCACAGGCAGGCTGTTCACAGTTCGGAGCAGGCTGTGCATGACAGTGTTGTGTGTTGGCAGTGCAGGCGGGTCGGGAAGCAGGTGCAGGTGGGACTGTGCCTTCAGGAAGTCAGACACAAGGGAAGATAGATAGACTTAGGTAATAAAAACCTCCCCCATGGCCCTCTCGAAACATCAGGGTTAGGAACTGGAGCTGAGAACAGCAAGTAGCCTGGTCAAGACAGGCACGCTGCCCTCGTGGGTGGCCTGGGATGCTGCCTTAAAAAAAACACACGCAGCAGCCTTTTCTGCTGTGTTGGCTGTAGTGGCCAGAAGTGCTGGTCTCCGTGTTTCTTAGAAATATCCCTGTGCAAATAACAAAGGGTCATCCTGAAAAAGGGGTCTCCATCATCCCAAAGGCAACTGGGGACTCTCTTGGGAGGGGGAGAGACTAAGGGGCAGGTCCGGCCTGGCCCAGTGGGCAGAGGGGCAGGAGGGGGGGAGTTTCACATTCAATCTTTGGAGAGAATACTGAGAGAATGAGGCAAGCAGGCCCTGGCGGCGAGTTGGCTGCCCCGTGTCCCCTGCCTGTGGGCACCGGCGGCAGGCGCACTCGGTGGGCTCAGCAGGTGGAGGTCGGCTTGCGGTAGAGCTGGATCAGGGGGACCAGGCACTCGGGGAGCCCAGTCTGCAGCAGGAAGGGATGGTCCAGGAGCTCCTGGGCTGTGGCTCTCTCCTGGGGGTCCCGCACCAGCATCCGTTCCAGGAAGTCTCGCAGCACTGGGGAAACCTGTGGAGACAAGGCAGTGAGATGAAGCGACAATTTGCAGTCATTTTGGGGTGACCCATATGCCTGATCCCACCATCAAGTGAAAGTCTCAAGTTCTTTCTTTTCTTACTTCCTGCTTCCTCCCAGGATGAGTGCTTCTGGGATTATCAAGTAGGTAAAGAAAATCAGCATTAGTCCAGGAAAAGTGGTCAGATCGCCTCCAGGGGGTGCTGCTGAGCAATGGGATTAGGGCACCTGGAGTGCTGGGGTGTGGGGGGGAGGGGCGGGTTGGACTCTAAATACAGACCATTCCACACCCTGTTTCTTTGGGCTCTCTCAGCCTTCAGGTACCATGGAAAGGGGCATGGGATTGGTATCAGTGATCCAGTTCTGGGTTTATCTCTAATCTCTGGCAAATTGCAATTTTCTCTAGGCCTCCGTTTTCTCAACTGCAAAATGGGCTAATGTTCTTGTTCTGTCTGCCATGTAGGACTTTAGTGAGGACAAAAAAGAGGTCAGCAGCAAAGAAGTGTTTTTTGGAAAATAGAAAAGAACAAGGGGGGGGCTGAAAAGAAAGATTACTTTATTGCTCTAAGACTTGAGTCTAAGTCAAAGTCTTGTATTGGTTCTTTTTGAGCCAATATCTTGGGGAGAGGCTGAGTCTTGGGTCTGTTACAGAAGGCTACCTCCTCTGGGGAATTAGTTAACTAGAACTCTCCCCTATCTGCTAATCTTGTGGTCAGCAGTGGTCTCCAAGGACCAGCTGTCTCTGAGGCGTTCCCGTCTGTCCTCCCATCTAATTGTGTTGGGGCCACAGATCTTGCCATGTGGAGACGGGGCTTCAACACTCTGGGACACTTCTCACTCTGGCCACTAGGTGGCGGTGCCGTTTTGCAGCTTTGTGCTGACCTGGCCAGGGGTGGGGTGGAGGGGGCGGGGGAGGGCTGGCTTGTAAGGCCTCCTGGTTTGGGTAGATTAGGTTGAAAAGGGTTACACACACACACACACACACACACACACACACACACACACAGGTTTTAAGGGAAAAACTAGCTCAGATGTGGTCAGAGTGTGCAGTGATGGAGGACAAGCCGATTCCCTGCGATGGACTGGGGGACACTGCGATGGTACGGCTCCCCTGAGAGAAGGGGTTGAGGTGTTCCTGCTCAGCTTCTCTAGATTCTTCTCCAGAGCATCAGGGATTCCCGGAAGCATTGCTTTCCCTTCTCTCGGGCTCCTATCAATCCCTTGCAGGTAGAAATTTGTCCGAGTGACCATGGGAGTTTGCGTATAGATGTGGCTCCACACCCAGGTGCAGGTTTCATATGGAGAAAGGGGTACCTCTTCCAGCATCCCAGACCCTCTGGCTTCTGCGAAAGGGAGAGGCTGGGCTGGAGCCCAGGCTCTGGTCCTCTGAGCCTCAGGAAGCGTTCGGTCTGTGGGGCCACACTGTGCACGGACTGACCTTGTGGGAATTTTTCAGCTTGGGCGGGGAGCTGTCCCGGAGCCTCTTCATCGCTTGCACTGGGGAGTCGCTGAAGTAGGGTGGCTCTCCGTCCACCATCTCAATCACCATGATGCCCAGAGACCAGATATCCACCTGCAGGAGGAGAACGTCCCTGACTCCACTGGCCAGAGCCTGGCCCCTTGGTCGCAGCACGCTGCAGTCCGGGGAGGCCACAGCTGGTCTCAGTTCTCCTTAGTGAGTTGGCCTCCTTCCCGGCCACTGGCCCTGTGGGCAGTTACTTCCTGCACGAGTGACCTTGACTAGGGACACAGCAGTCAGCCACTCTCTGAGAAAGGACATCACACATGGGGAAGCCTGGCCATACCCCTGGCCCTTGAGCTGAGGGCTAGCATTTTTGGGACCAGTTTGTGGCAGCAAAGTCACAGGCAAGAGCAGATGCATCCGAGAAGGGACAGTGGGCAGTGGGGTGGGGACTGACTAAGTGGGAACCCGAGAACAGGGCTATTTTGATGGGAGGGGCCAAGAGTGTTAGAGCTGTGTGTTCCCAAGCCTCTTCCGGGAGGACTGTGGGGGTGGAGGGCGGGGTTACCTCGGTGGCGTACAGAGACCTGGAGATCACTTCAGGGGCCATCCAGTAGGGCGTTCCCACCAGGGACTTCCTCTTAGGGACGTCTTTGCTGATCTGAGCACAGAATCCGAAGTCTGACAGTTTCACCTGGAGTGGGGTAAGAGGGAAAAGGGAAGTGGTGAATCAGGAGGAGGAGCTGTGCGGGAGCAGGGCAGTGGGGAGATGGGTGTGTCAGGGTGGGGAGGGCCCTACCCTGCCATCCAGGGTCAGCAGGATGGAGTCGCTCTTGATGTCCCGGTGTATGACGCCCTGGGCGTGCAGGTACGCCAGGGCCTGCAGCACGGCCTCGCACACAGTGGCGATCTGCTCCTCGTTCAGCCTGGACAGGGAAGGCAGGGCCACCGTCGGGAGAGAATGTTAGTTTTGGCTGGGCTGCAGGACAGATGGGCTGGGAGCCCCTGGTACCAGGCCCCACAGCCCCTGGGCCTTGTGTGCGGGAGCCCAGACCTGGCGGAAATGCGCCTGGGCCTAGGCTGGACACCTCCTGCCCTCCCACCCCCCTGAGGCCCTCGGGCCTATGAATCCAAACAGACAGGTGAGCTCAGGACGGTCTGATAGTTCCCCCAAGTCTGCTGGGCCCGAGGCTGCCTTGAAACCCTTCCAGGGCAGTGGTGGGGGCCGCCAGCACTTGGGACCCAGCCCTCCAGCTGCCCACCTGACTTGGGAGATGATGTCCGTGAGGGCCCCGCCCTGCAGGAACTCCATGAGCACCCACAGCTCCTCGCCCACCAGGTAGCTCTTGTACATCTCCACCACATTGAGGTGCTGGTAGTCCCGCATGATCACCACCTGGGGGCAGGGAGGGTGTGCCTGAGTGCCGGGTAGGACCCACCGCCCTGCTTATACTTGTCCGGCCTAGCTCGGTGTTCACTGCCCATCCCAGATGCCCATCCGCATCCACCCTCTCCTCCCACCTCATTAAAGAGCAGCTCCCTGCGCTGCTGCTTCCTGAGGTCCATCATCTTGACGGCCACCTGGCGGCCCGAGTGCTTCTCCCGCGCCAGGCAGACGATGCCCGTGGAGCCCTCGCCAATCTTCACGTAGCTGTCCAGCAGCAGCCGGGGGTCGCCCTGGTCCACCACCATCCTGAGTGCAGCCTTGAACTGCTCGTGTGTTACGATGCCCGTGTCCTCACCGGCCAGGGCACCCTTGGCTACTGCGGGGTCCTGGGGCAGGTACAGGTTGCTGGTGCTGATCTGGGCGTGCCGGGTGCGGGGAGAACCAGCAGGGGAAGACCGGCCTGGAGGAGGGCCGGCGGCTGGGGCTGTGCGGAGGGACTTCTGGGGGCTGCTGGTATCTGAGGTGGTCAGAGGGCTGAAGGTCCCCATGGGCTGGTCTGCGGGCAAGGACTGGGCCTTGGCCACCAGGCTTGCGGGGGAGTCTTTCTGTGGTGGCCGGAATGAGGAGTTGGGCTGCAAGGAAAAAAATAAAGACATGGAGAGGGGTTTGGCTGTGGGAATGTTTGGAGCAAACTTCCCAGAGGCAGGGGGTGGCTGCTGGGACCCCCAGACATGGGCAGGGTTAGGCAGGGCATCACACCAAATTGGGGAGGTGCCACAAGCAAAGATTTTCAAACGGAGCTGAAGCCAAACCACAGTTGTGCTCGGGAAACCAGCCCCCATGGCTCCCAGCTGAGCAGACCAAACGAGAGCCTCTACAGCCAATTTGCCTGCTCCTGGGAAGATATAAAAGGCAGAGTCCCTGGGGTGCCCTTGTGCTGGGTGTTTCTTCCTGGGGAATTGACAGCCAGGCCCCAGGAGGCCACTGGGAGGCAGTCCCCCCTCTGCTGCAGGGCTCCCTGGGGAATCTGGGTCAGAGGCAGTGGCTCCCATGGCTCCCCACAGAGGACCCCAGAGCCATGTTTCCATAGGGGGGTTTCCAGACCCTCAGGCTGGGGATATGGTTCCAGAGAAACCCAAACCCCATCCTTGGGGCCAGGGATCCCGGGGAGGTTTTCTAAGGGCTCCCCAGAGGAGCCCCTCCACTTGCTCCCAAGCATGGAACTCCTGCCTGAGGGCCCCCACAAGGAAGGGAAGGTAGGCCTATCCTGTGGGCAGGGAGGGAAGGTGGCGCTGAGTGGCAGGCTGTGCCCACCCCTGGAAACCTTCGAGGCTCCTTGCCTTTCTGGGTCCAAGCTCTCCTGCCAGCCTAGACAGGAAATGGTCCCCTCCTTGGGGTTCTCCCCAGGCAGCTGGCATGTGCAACATGAATAAGAATTTTGCGGGTTGTTTTTAAAAAATAGATTTGTATTGATTTCAGAGAGGAAGGGAGAGAGAGAGATTGAAACGCCAATGATGAGAGAGAATCACTGATTGGCTGCCTCCTGCATGCCCCACACTGGGGATCAAGCCCGCAACCCAGGCATGTGCCTGACCAGGGCTTGAATTGTGACCTCCTGGTTCATAGGTCGAAGCTCAACCACTGAACCACACCGGCCCGGTGAGGATTTTGTGCTTTTAACAGGGGCACGGGGAGAGGGCCCTGTATAACCTACAGGGGACCTTCAGGAGCTGCAGACAGGTTTCTTGGAACTTCTCAGATCCCATCACATCTGGTTGTTTAGGTGCCCAGTGGCTCCTGTCCTGATTCCTGGAGCTGAATCAACTTCCAGGAAATCTCAGGCAGCCCGCTTGGGCTGAGTTGCTTGGGCTGGGGAGCTCTAAGTCTGGGCCTCAGGCCCACCCGACTCAGCCAGCGCCTTTTCAAGCTCTTCAGCACCCCGCCCCCACCACGGTCCTAGGCCTTGTCTAGGGTCAGGGTGCCCCTCCCTGCAGAGTTGAGAGCCCTGCACTGACGTCGCCTGGGACAGGAACATGGGGTAGGGGGGCCAGGCTTGGCCTTCGCCTCAGCAGGGTCGGGTCCCCAGTGTCCCTTCATCAGCCCTGCTGCCTGTCTCCACAAGGAGGCAGCTTTTGCTTAATGTAACCCCAGGAGGGGACCAGAGGAAACTTGTTAAACCACCCCAAGAAAGGGAAAGGAGACAAACATGAAATTAATGAGTTGTTAGGGCTTCTGGACTAATCTGGAGTTACTGTGTGACTGAGACCTCTTCTTGAGCAGGAAGCCATGGGCAGAGTCCTGCGTGGATGTACAGTGATGCCTCGTTTTCCCTCCTGGGCCATGGTGACCGCACCAGGCTCTCCAGCTGGGGGCCTGGGGGCTGTACTGTAAGTGCCCCAAAGACAGAGGCCATGTCACGATATTACAAAAATAATAAAACCATACATTAAGGGCTTAACACTTTGACAGGGGCCTTCAAGGCATTATTCCTTTAACGCTCATAACCCCGGGGGTTGTTTCACAATCCCATGGGCACGACCATCACATTTGTGATGAAGAAAGAGGTAAACTTGCCAGAATCACGAAGTCGTAGGTGGCAAGGCCAGACTGCAGCCCGTCAGCCCAACCCCTCACCCCTATGCGACAGTCCTATTGGTGTCCTGTATCATTGGCATACAATGGAGCACATGGTACACAGTAGGGGCTTAACCAATGTCTGCTGATTATTGAGGTCCTTTGACTTGGCCTTTCTGCCTCTAAGTGGAACCGCTTCCAACGTCCCCAAACTTATAACCGTCTTACCTCTTTGGGCCCCCTACCCCCACTCAAGGTCTTCTTTTGCTCTTTAGCCAAAGTGAGTGGCCACAGGCCAAGCTGCCTGGGCTGAGTCCCAGAGCCCCAGGGCCACAGGCCTCCTGCAGCCACTCCTGGCACACATGGCCACTGGCAGCCTGACCTCTCGGGCACCAGTGCTGCCATGGGAGCTGCTGTGAGTGCCAGAGCCAGCCCCTGGCATATGCTGAGGGCAGAGGGCTGGCTGCTGGCTTGGTCTGGGGGTTCCTGGGGCTTCCTGTCTGAGGTAATTTGTCTAAAGCAGTGGTTTTCAACTAGGGGTGACTTTGACCCGCAAGAGGCACTTGGCAATATCTGGAAGGATTTGTGGCTGTCCCCTCCGAGGGGTGCTGCTAGCGTCTAGTGGGTAGAGAGTGGGGACACTACTAGATCCTACAGTACACAGGACACCCCCTCGCCAAAGGATCGTCTGATCCAAATGCCAACAGTGCCGGGCTAAGAAGCCCTGGCTCAGAGCGGCTCAGGCCCGGCTCAGAGTTTTTCTCTAGAGCAGTGGTTCTCAACCTTCCTACTGCCGCGACCCTTTAATACACTTCCTCATGTTGTGGTGACCCCCAATTTCATTGTTACAAATTGAACATAATTAAAGCATAGTGATTAATCACAAAACAATATGTAATTATATATGTGTTTTCCGATGGTCTTAGGCGACCCCTGTGAAAGGGTCGTTCGACCCCCCAAAGGGGTCGTGACCCACAGGTTGAGAACCGCTGCTCTAGAGACATATGCCCAAAGCGCTGAGAGGGAATGCACTCGGCTGGATTGGAGCTGTGGCAACTCCAAGCCCAAGACAACCACCCCCTCCCTCACAGGTCGGGGCCCAGGCCTGCACACCCAGCAGCAGTGGCCCGTGGTAGTACTCGGTAAGGTGTGCAGGTATGGGCAGGCTGACAGAGGCTGTGGGGTGCTGCTAGGAGCCCAGAAACATGCATGTCTGTGCCCAGACACCCCCTCTCTCCAGATCTCTGAAGCCCTCCCGAAGGACTCCCAAGAGGCCAGCGCGTGATCCTGCTCCCATTCTCACCTCCCAAGCAGTGTGCCCTGTGCTGCTCCCACCCTGGTTTTCTGGGGAATGTCTCCATTCCCTAGCCTTCCAGACCCCTCAGCTCACAGACATGTTCCTTACATGAACGGGTGCATCAGGCCAAGGCTCCTCTGTTTGCCCCCCAGACCCCCACCCCACAGGGGATACCAGCCCACTGTCCTCATCCCAGTGCAGGGCTGGAGTGTGCAAAGCCCAGAGCCTTCCCTGGGGGCCTGGGGCTGGTGGTGACTTAGAAAGGTTCAGGGTCCAGGCCACTCTCCAGACTCCCCAGCCCCATTCAGGCTGGATCAGACTGGCACCCTCACTGAGCGGGGAGGACCCAGGCTCGTCCTCCTCCAGGGAGGGGAGCCCCCAATCCCTGAGCCGCCCAAGTCTCTCAGGTCTGCCTTAGGAGTCTCATGCTACCGCCTAAGCTCACTTCTGCCGGCCCCTCAGGACGGAGCTAGAGAACAGCGGCTGCCAAGACAGCAAAGGCCCCTGAGCCAGGCCTCTGTGCCTTCCTTCCCTGACTCACTCCCGACACCTGGGGCTGTCTCACCCTCTCTGACTCAGGCTTCTGACTAAAATGGGAAAGGATGTCACCACAGACAGGATGCCATAGGGCATGTAAGAAGCGCATTGTTCTCTGCCTGCCCAGAAATGTCACCGTGAGGCCCCCTTCACAGCTTCCTTTCTTATAAGAAAAATACGTGCATTTTAGACTGTCACGCAGGCCAAAGGCAGTCCTCCCGCTACCTCCGGACGCAGGCCGATTCAATCCTCTAGCTTCTCATATGACACACAAACTTGAGAATAAGTCATTCCAGAATGTTAATGACACAAAACCACCACTGCTAAAGGAAGTGCAGGTGGGCGGGCGGGCATGGTCACCGGAGGGGGCGAGCTGAGTGGGGATGGAGCCGGAGCGGCAGTGCAGGAGCCTCTGCAGACCTCAGCGGAGCCAGGGAGCCGCGGGCCCGGCGAGGGATGGAGGCGGAAAGAGGGTCTAGAGTAGGGAGGCAGGATGCCCTCCTGCCCGGTGCTGGAGCCCCTATTCTGCTGGGGCCTAGGTGGGGGTTGCTGGGCACCGGGGGCAGGGGAAGGTCTGGGCTTTTGTGGTTAAAAATACTGCTTTTCTTCTCCCCTCGACGGCTTGGCTCAGTGGTTGAGCATCGACCTGTGAACCAGGAGGTCACAGTTCGATTCCAGGGCATATGTCCAGGTTGCGGGCTCAATCCCCAGTAGGGGGCGTGCACGAGGCAGCCAATCCAAGATTTTCTCTCATCATTAATGTCTCTCTCTCTCGCTCTCTCCCTTTCCCTCCCTCTCTGAAATCAATAATAATAATATGTTTTAAATGCTGCTTTTTCGGGCGGTATCTGCCAACCACGCCCCAGGGGGCAGGAGTGTAAGCTGGGTGTACATACCTCCTCTGAAGCCCCCAGGAAAACGACCTGGCTCACAGCCTCTGACTCACACAGGCTAAGCCTTTGGAGGACTCGGACTCGGTTGGTTCAGGGTAGAATCCTCAGTGGAGGCTGAGCTGGTGTCTTGATTATTTTGTTCCCTCATGCTGTCCCCCAACCCACCTCTATAGGTGGGGAAGGCCAGGCAGGGCCTGCGCGCCAGACATGCATGCATTCCCCAGTGGACGCCTGCCAGGCCGCCCCCCCCCGCCCCCCCCCCCCCCCCCCCCCGGCCTTTCGGAAGGGGCCAGAGGCAACCCCGCCGACCTACCTTGCTCTGCGGTGCGGGGCCGGGCTGGCTGCTGCTCAGAGGGGCTGTGGCAGGAGTTGACAGGAACATGCTCCGGAACAGCCTGTGCTTCAAGCTGCTCTCCTGAGTCTTAGGGCTGGGGCTGCCCTCCCCGCCCGGCCTGCCCGCAGCAGAGCCCACCAGGCAGGACTGTGGCCGGGCCTCCTCAGAGCCGTGCCTGATGGCTTTGGCCCCGCGCCTCCCCGGGGCTGCCGGGGGCGAAGTGCCGGGTGGGGTGCTCTGCAGGCAGGCACCCAGCTGCAGGCAGCGCTGTGTGGCACCCTGGAACTCGGAGGGGCCCAGGGACTGTGCCTTGGTGGCCAGCCCATTGGGCGGGACCCGTGGGCTCTGCGGTTCTGGCCATGGCGCCTGCCGGCGGCCTGCGGGTGCACCCCCATTGCAGCTGAGGTAGAGGTCAGTGCGCTCAGACTGGGGGCTCTGCAGGTACATGTCCGGGTCGGCAGTCCAGTGCTCCTCCCCCAGCAGCCCCAGGGACTGTGCCCGCCGCCGGTTGGTGGGGCTGTGCCCGCGAAGGGTGTTGGAGCTGATGACTGACAGCTTCTGGATGTCGTTGAGCAGCCCCGAGATGTAGCCATCCGTGGGCACAGAGCTGCCCCGCACCACAGTCTGCAGGAGAGAGGAGAGCGTGGGTGAATGGCCGATTCGCGCCAGGGAGGGCAGCCTGGGACCAGGCCCGAGGGCCTCCCTGGGGGCCTTGAGGAGGAACACCTAAGGACCCTGCCTGCTGTGTCATCCACCCATTCCTTATATTTCCAGTCATTTACCCGGGCCCATGGCAGGTCAGGCCTGTGCTGGTGCAGAAATACAGGGAAAAGGCCCATTTTCATGGGGCTCGCGGTCCAGCAGGGCACACGGGTGAGTAACCACGGGTTACAATCCAGAACGCCAAATGGTGTGGGCAGCTGAGCTTGGGGAGCCGAGGGGAACCACGGGGACGGGGCCACCTACGATTCTCTGGCTCTGCCTGTGGCCTTCTGGGAGAGGAGCCCTCCGAGGAGGCAGGGACCAGGCCGGCGCCCTCCTCCGCACACACTGGCTTTGTGGCCTCTAAATCCTGACCCCAACCCCTCCCAGGTTCTCGGATCTACCCTCTTGACCCAGACCACTCAATCCCCAGTCAGTCCCCCAGGGCTGCAGGTCCAATACTGCCTGGGCACGCTGATACGAAAAGGCTCTTTGTTGTTATCTGACATTCCAATGTTCTTGGGCAGCCTGCATTTTATTTGCTATATTTGGCAGCCCTACCACCCTTTAGAGGACTCCCCAGGCTCCTTCTCCCTGGGTTACCCAGGGAGACACAGGGCTGATGAGCAGGGAATGAAAACAGCGGCTAATTGATAGCTGGTGATTAGGTGGTTCCTCCAGGTGCCTTTGTGGTTTGGCCAGACACGGGCATCTGCGGAGCCTCACTCTCCCCCCGCCCACCTTACTTACCTTCATGGGCTGGAGCTGCACCCGCGTAATGCGCGAGGGGTCCACCACGGGCTTGGGGCGTCGGAGAGTGTCCAGGATGTTCTGCCATTGAGGGGGGAGGCCCACAAACTTGCCTTCTTTAGGGTCAAAGGAGGTGTGGACGCGGTGCTGGAAGTTCTGTGGGGCTGAGATCTCAGGGCGTTTCTTCTTTTTCTTGCGGAACATGGTGCCTGCGTGGGAGGGGCAGGCTGAGCTCCTGCGGGGCTCCCCTGGGCCCGGGGAGCAGGGGTGGCTGCAGCGGGTGGTGGGGCACCAGGCTCTGGGCTCTCTCCCGCCAGCACATCTCCCCTGTCTGGGTCCAGGGCTTCCCCTCATCCCTCCTCTCTACTTCCTCAGGAAAGTGGCTAGTTCCCAGCAGAGGGTCCCACAAACAACAAAAGCACCATATTGAAGGCAACACAGACTAAAGAAAGCAGGTGTCTGTCTTCTGGTCTGTGCCACGTCCCATGTCGAGCAGGCAGACTCTGGGGGGGTGTTCTTATAAAACCCAAGCCCATTACAATTATCGTCCGCTGTCGAAGAATTAAACGGGGAAAGGGAGGGAAGCCGGCCACCCATTTTATGAAATGAGCATGACCTTGACTCTTCAACCAGACAAGATTAGTACAAAAGGAGGAAAATGTAAACCAACCTCACCTAGGAACATGAATGTGAAAATCCTAAACAAAGCCAGCACGCTGAATCCAATAATTTGTTAAAGTTTGTTTGTTGGTTTGTTTTTTTTGTTTTGTCACAATCAACTGGGGTTTGTCCCAGGATGGTTCAATGGCAGAAAACCTGTCCATGTGTTTATGCACAACGTTCACAAAAAGCCACCCCACCGAGTCGCAGACACACTGCCCCGTCTGGGACTCTCCTGTTCCCAGGCGCTCTGCCCTAATTCTGGAAAGCCCTGGGGGCGGGGGCGGGGGGGGGGGGAGCTGACTCAGGGGTAAGCTCTCCAGGCAACAGAGAGCCCACCCTCTGGGCCTCTTTTCTGGGTCTCAGAACTCTGACTGTACAAAACATCACTTGCAGCCAACCCCCTCCCTCTCCCTGCTGATGTGGGGTTTTCTAAGGCCCTGGTGAGCTCCCTCACCAGCTCAGAGCGGTGTCGGTGTGGGGATTGGAGAGAGGGAGACTGGAAGCACTGCTCCAGCCTCACCTCAGGGAGTCCCTGACGGGTCCTCATGTGATGTGAGTAGGTGCCCACTGAATGCTTTTGTGTCTGAGGCAGCTCACTGGGTTTTTAAATTTTTCTTTATCGTGGTAAAATACACTCCGTGGGTTCTTAGGTTACTGGGAAAAGTCACTTCTAGGTTTCAAGAAACATGTTAGTTTCCTGAATGCTTGGGCCATTCATCTATCCATAGATCTGGGGTGTCTTCGGATCCTGGGGCATTTTCTCATGGCTGCTGCTCTGGACACAGCATTTTCCTGGGCACTTTAGCAGGTTCCAGAGTAGGTCACAGACCCGGGAGGCACTTGGCGCCCACTCAGAAAGGCTGCGGGCTCACCGCCACAGCTTCCCGACTAGAGTCCACCAGGTGAGAAACCATCCGAGTCCATGGCATACCCCTTGGAATGTCAGCCACTTTTCGGGACCTTAAGGTTCAAGAGTCCACCAAACACCCGCAACAGGCAAAGCCCCCTATGCAGGACCCCTAAGGACCAAGGACTTCAGAGGGACATGCACCTGTCTGAGTTGCAGGTGAGCTGAAGGGAGTCTCCCACTAACCTAAATGAGTTGAGCCTCAGTGGTCTTCATCTATGAAATGGGGTTAATAAAATATATCTCAAGGGTTTGGGGAGTATTAAGTGAGCAGATCCCCAGTAAATGGGGGCTGTCCCTGTTGCTGTGTTACTTCTGTGTATTCCTGTCTCTAAGCTCAGGGCCCTACAGATGTGGGAACGTGAGCAGATACTAGTCTGGGAGCGATACCAAACCCCGACCTCAGATTCACCTGTCAAGTGCCCAGGCCAGACTTCTGTGACCTCAGGCCCTCGACAACTCTCCTCCTTGACTCTTGAAGGTTTGATAAAACTTGATCTCTTTGCTCTCAGCCTTTGGCCACAGAAGAGTCTTCATCCCTCAGTCTGTCCTCACAACATCTGACACAGACCCTCTATCCTGGGCTTAGTTTAGCTGATGGTTTCTCCCTATACCCCAACTCTGTTAACTCCTCTGGAGATGCAGGGACACATCCAAGAGTTAAAGAAGAGCTGGGTAAGGGCCTGGCCAGGGAGCTCAGCTGGTTGGAGCATTGTCCTGATACACCAATGTTGTGGGTTCAATCCCCAGTCAGGGCACATACAAGAATCAACCAATGACTGCATGAATAAGTAGAACAACAGATTGATGTCTCTTTCTCCCCTCACCCCTTTCTCTATCTCTAGAAAACAATAATTCTATATAATAAAACCCTAATATGCAAATTGACTGAACGGCGGAATGACCAGTTGCTATGATGTGCACTGACCACCAGGGGACAGACGCTCAATGCAGGAGCTGCCCCCTGGTGGTCAGTGCACTCCCACAGGAGGAGCAATGCTCAGCCAGAAGCTGGGCTTGTGGCTGGTGGCTGGCAAGCGTAGCGGCGGCGGTGGCAGGAGCCGCTCCCACCTCCGCAACAGCGCTAAGAATCCCTCGGGGTCCCGGACTGCAAGAGGGCACAAGCCAGACTGAGGGACACCACCCCAGTGCACGAATGTCGTGCATCAGGCCTCTAGTAATCTTATCTAATAATAGACAAACATGGTAATTGACTGTACCTTCACTACACCTCCCATTGGCTAATCAGCACGATATGCAAATTAACCGCCAACAAAGATGGCGCTAATTTGCATACTGCAGGCAGGGCGGGACAGCGCCATCCCGCCTGCCCTGCTGCCATCCGGGCCTGCTATCTGCGACCCAGGGCGGCGGGCGTCCGTGTGCGACCCGATCCAGGGCGGCCGGGCAGGGCAGCAGCGATAGGCTGGCCCACCCGGGCATCCTGTGTGCGACCCAACCCAAGGAGGCGCCCCAACCCCCCGGATCGGACCTGCCATGTGCGCGAACCGAGGCGGCGCCCCAACCCCCCGGATCAGCCCTGCTGTGTGCGTGACCTGGGGTGGTGTCCCAACCCCTGGATTGGCCCTGCCATGTGCGTGACCTGGGGGGGCGGGCAGGCACCAACAGATCGGGCCTGCCATCTGCCACCCGGGGAGCGGGCCTAAGCCAGAAGGTGGTTATCTCCCAAGGGGTCCCAGACTGTGAGAGGGCACAAGTGGGGCTGAGGGACACCCCCGCCAGTGCACACATTTTTGTGCACTGGGCCTCTAGTAAAAATAATAATAAAAGAATAGAAGAGCTGGCTAATACTTCCTCCCCCCAATAACATCCCTCTCACCAACTCCCTTGCCCAGCCCAAGGGCCCAGCTTTTGCAGGAGACAGAATTTTTAGCAAATCATCTAAATGACTCTAGGATCCCTGAGGCTACCCCAACAACGATTCCAGAACATTCTCCACAGAGGCAGAAAGAAAGGCCTGAGAAAAGGACTCAACTGTTGAACACCCAGTTGGTATCCAAGCTGGAGAAATGGTCTCAGGAAGAACTCTCTCATTTGATTCAGAAGTGTTATCAGGGGGAAAAAACCTCAGATACCATTCAAATATCAAACACCTAGGAATAAATCTCATGAAAAATGTGCAAGTTTTCTACATTGAAAAGTATAAAATAATGAGAGATATTGAAGGATGTTCATAAATTGACTCAATATTGTAAAGATGTCAATTATTCCCAATTAACCTACAGATTTATTTCAATCTCAATCAAAATCCCGGTGTATTTCTTTGGTGGAAATTGACAAATTGATTCTAAATGTATAGAGAAACATAAAGAACCAGGAATAGCCAGGGTAATCTTTAAAAAAAATTTTAAATTGATTTTAGAGAGAGGAAGGGAGAGGAGAGAGAGAGAGAGAGAGAGAGAGAGAGAGAGAGAGAGAGAGAGAGAGAGAAACATCAACCTGAGAGAGAAACATCGATCGGCTGCCTCCCGCATTCACCCTGACTGAGGATTAAACCCACAACCTGGGTGTGTGCCCTGGTTGGGAATAGAACCCACCACCTTTTGGTGTGCAGGATGACGCACCAAACAACCAAGCCACACTGGCCAGAGCCAAGACAATCTTGAACAAAGTTGGAGGATCACGCTACTAGATACCAAGGTTTATTATAAAGCTGCATTAATTAATGTAGTGTGGAATTGGCACACAGATTGATGACTAGACCAATGGACTAGAAGAAAGAATCCAGAAATAGACTCAGTCATATACAGTCACTTAATTTATGACAAAGGTGACACTGCAATGCGGTGGAAACAGATGACCTTTCCCATAAATGTAGTGAAGCAATTAGATATCCATATGAAAATGAATTCGTATCATCCCTCAGAATTAACTGGATCTAAATTCGAAAGATAAAATAATAAAGCTGGTGGGAGTGGTGGTGGGGACTGCAGAGGGGGCGCCCAATGTCTGGCCGTCCCCTGCCCCGGGGCCCCTGTGAGTGGCTTCGTGGGACCCCTACCAGGTTTTCTTTGTCCAAAGCAGAATTTTAAAAAAATGTTGATATGAGTTTATTTGAGCCAAACTGACAACATCTGCTCGGGAGCAAGCTCTGACATGCTCCGGAGAACAAGAGTGTTGCTGTTTCTCTTACGCATTTGAAAGTGAGGAGGAAGCACTGGGAGGATCACAGGAAGGTGGCCCTGGACTACAGGACTGCTAAGATGATGTGCTCCCAGGCTTAAAGGAGGGTCTGAAAGGGGGCATTTCAGAGGTGTGTTAGCCAAGATGCACAGGAACAATGCACAGGGCTTGCTGAAGGCAAAGATAAGCCTTTTAACTAAAGAAGTTATAGGCCTGGCTGGCGTGTGACTCCCCACCATGACCTGCCCAGTTAGGAATTGATCATCAGATCACCCTGTAAGGTTACTTTCCACAAAAACCCTTTTTCTTCCACACCAAAGCAGAATCCTTAATGTCACAGGTTAGCAGTCGGGCTTCTTCCTAAAGATTTCACCTTGGCCCTGGCCAGGTAGCTCAGTTGGTTAGAGTGTCATCCCAATACGCCAAGGTTGTAGGTTCCATCCCCGGTCAGGGCACATACAAGAACCAACCAATGGATGCCTAAGTAAGTGGAAC